TTCATTGTTTTTTTTTTATTTATTTTTTTTATTGGATCATTCCTATTGCTGGAACGATTGAATGGACAACTTTATTTGGAGTTCCTTCAATTATTTTTTCATATTCTATCTGCACCCGAGAGATTTCCCAAAATTTCCCGGACACCCTATATAGGACATGTCTATTTATAATATTTTTGCTGATGACACTTCTATAGAGCAGCCATAATCAACCCTTTTTGAGGGTTTGGTTTTTACACATTATGTGGTTTATGAACTCCTTGGTTTATTATTTTTCTTATTAATGCATTTTAATAAAAGCTTGTTATTAAAATATTTTATTTTACTTTTCATTTATTCCCACTTTACGTTACTTTTACGAGTATCCACACTATAAATTGTGTCCCCAGAATTATAACTCCACACAGTTTTAGATAAAAGCTTGCGAGCTCAGTAATAATTAAAGAATCTAATAGTAAAAATAAACCAAAAACAACTTTTATGATGACATAGGACACGACCTTGTCAGTGTCCATTCTGTACCTCCAGAGTGGAAGCGAAAAACCGCTGAAGTCGTGGAACCTCTCGGCGACATAACGCGGGAAACATCTCGCACATCACGGGGGTATCGAGGCGAAGGGGAAGAGGAAATATCGGCGACAGGGACCTTGTCCGGGCACGAGTTCGACACACATTACAAGACATCCCCGGGAAGCGTTGTCATCCTGGCGATAACAGGACGGGTGACTCGTCGTTCCGGGCGGGAACACGTCGTATCGGCGATCTGGAATATCGGAGATAATTCTGTTTTAATGGCTGGGGCCGGGACGTTATCGCGGCGTAATGGAATATTCGCGTAGTTAGGAAGCGGCGCCTCGTCGAAATGGCTGGCGGTGTGCAAAAAAAGGGAGTTGCTGGTCGGGCTGTTGCTTTCGCACCTGTTCCACCGGAGCAACATGTGTCCTTACTAATAGAATTAACCCAATAAATATACTTTGTTAAACAGAACGGCGTGTGTATTGTTGTTTAACTTTTTCCGAAGGTTTTTTGTTGTAATTGAATTTTAATGTAAATGCATGTGTGTGAAGTTAGAAACGTTTTTCTTCAGAAATATTTCTGATATAGTCTGTTTGGAAATGAAAGAGAGTAATAAAACCCTGAGATAAGAACCGGCCATGGGCGTGGTAATATTTCGTTTCAGGTAATTATCGGGTAACACTAATGCTAATTCCGTAACGAAGGGAGGAATATTTATTATCTAGACGAAACTTGGGTCAACGAGGGATATACTGTAACAAAAGTATGGCAGGATAAAAACGTAAAAAGTTTTCAACAAGCATTTTTGGATGGACTTTCAACAGGGTTCAAGGCACCTTCAGGTAAAGGGCGAAGATTAATAGTGACACATATAGGTAGTGCCAGTGGTTTTGTAGATGGCGGTTTACTTTTATTTGATTCTAAAAATACAGGTGACTATCACGAATACATGAACGCAGATTCGATCGAAGAGTATTTTACACAGATGTTGGATCTTATTCCTCCGGGGTCTGTAATTGTCATGGATAATGCCAATTACCATTCACGACAGACCGAGCGGACGTCTACGACTGCTTGGAGGAAAGCCGATATAATTCAATGGTTATCCGGAAAAAACATTTCTTTTGAAACAAATATGGTGAAAAAGGAACTTTTGACACTTGTCAATCTCAATAAAGATCAGAAAAAATATGTTATCGATGAAATGGCAACAAATCGCCAAATAACGGTACTACGGTTACCACCTTATCACTGTGAACTTAACCCAATCGAATTAGTCTGGGCGCAGGTAAAAGGAGATGTAGCCCGAAATAATACGACGTTTAAATTAAGTGACATGAAAATTTTGTTAAAAAATTCCTTGGAACGAGTAACTGCAGATAACTGGCAAAGATGTATACATCATGTACAAAAAGAAGAGGAGAAAATGTGGGAACTCGATAATTTAATTGGCGTTACTGTGGAACCTATCGTTATCAATCTAGGAGACGAAGATAATTCATCAGAATATTCAGAGGATGAATTTTAATATACCTACTTTTTATTTTATTTATTGTACATTTATACAACACTACATTTACTCACCATAATTTGAATTTTCAAAATACATATATTTTTGTGTGGAATAAAAGTCTATTCATTAAATTTAAATAAATATTTTGATAATAATATTGAATAATTTTATTTGAATTACTAAAAACCCTCTTAACCCGGTTATGATGCTGAAAGTGCTTAAAGTAGCCTCATGTTTTGAAATGCTGTTTTTATATTGTTTACTTATAAGAGAAATGGACCGAGAAATTGAAGCGGCATAGACAAAGACGGATTGTCGGGGATTAAATTTTAGCTACCTGCTACAATTTAGTACAGTCCGATCGCACAAAGTTTTTTTAAAAGTACACCTCATCCTATACCGATAATACATAATATAAAATTATTGAATATAAGCACCAGTACTACATTTATTTACGATTTGCATACATAATAAGCTTTTATTACTCTTTCATTTCTAAACAGACTATAATACTGGCTACGATTCTATTTAGGCGAGGCGGCAAATGTACAGGGTGATGGATTTAACCGAAGAAATGAGTTTTTCTGGGAAACGGCCGAGAAAAATAAATTATTTTAGAAACTATTTCATTTTTGCTTATATTAACTAGAAGTTAGGGCAGGCTTATAGAAATTATCATTACGACGCTAGGCGTCGCGGCGCTTCTTTTTTTTCCAGCAACATACATTTTTTAATATGTCACGATAAAGATCCCTTAATTTCGAATATTTTTCCTATACAGGATGAGTCAGTTTTTTGTGGTAGGATTTTAACAGTTGATAGATATTCATTTTTTAATAAGAAAAGTTCCTGTAAATGTAGGTCTTAGAACGCTTCGTTTGTGAGATATAGGGTGTTGAAAACAAACTTTTTTTAATAATTTTTCTTAATATTAGTTATGTTGAATAAAACAAAGATATCTGTTATCTATTTCACCCACCAGTGACGTGCCTGAGGTGGGTTACTGCCCCCTTTACAAAAAATAATTTGTACGCCCGTGGATTTTTCTGGAAAATAACATCATTTCTAAGTTTTTTTTAATCAATTCTGAACAAAACAGCTCTCTTTCTATTTTTTATAAAATGAACGGTGATCCATGCTCTAATTCGTCAAGAACTTGATGAATAAATTCATGAAGTTATTTGACAGCTGATTTGGTGCATTACACTTTTCCAATTTCTTGATGAAGCGACTTCATGAATTAATTGATCAATAAATTGTCAATGTAAAACAGCTATTAGAGCATGTTCTAATTTTCGCCAATTTCTCCGTGAAGTTCCGAAGTACCAACCCAACAGATTTCCAGCCTCAGATCAGTAATGAGGTTAGGTTATTGGAATATGTAAATAATTGTGTGGCGTCGTCACGGATTTCTTAAATTAATATTAATTTAAGAAATTCGTGGGCGTCGTACTAATTTTGCATTGTTTTTAATGATTTGTTACTCACAAAAACTAATATTTATTTAATATATGTCGGAACGGTATCGCTATTGTATCACTACAATTATGAGTGGAAAGGTAACATTTTTGAAATTTATTTGCTTTTTTGATTTATTGGTAGAACTGATTCATACGTCAAAAAACTTCACAAAGTCTGTAGCAGTGTAAAACCACACTGTTTACTAATAAATTCGTGAATTAATTCATGAAGAACTTCGTCAATTTATTCATGAATAAATTGTCAATGTAAAACAGCTATTAGAAATGTGTGGCAAAAACTATCACAGCAGATGAACATTTGGCAATTGTTTTTCACTGTTTAGTTGCATTGGAGAATTACATCAAAGCTTGTGTCTTATCAACAAAGTACGATTTGGGAATCGACAACTTTTAAAATTATGGGAACATAAAAAACTTTATATAGGAAAAATATTAAAAATTAAGGGATCTTTATAGTGACATTAAAAAATGTATGTTGCTGGAAAAAAAATTTTTGAAGCGCCGTAAAGATAATTTCTGTAGTTTGACCCTACCTTCAAGTGAAAGTAATCAGAAATGCAATAGTTTCTAAAATAATTTATTTTTCTCAGCCGTTTCCCAGAAAAACTCATTTCTCCATCGATCACCCTGTACAATATAAGAAAGAAATAGACTTTTTGCGCCACTGGTAACTATAGGAATCAATAATACTATAATACTCTTCCTGTCTTCAATTTTTCAGTACATACGTAAAGAGATATTCCCTCTTGGGTCCTGACATATCTTTTACAAAAACCTATATGAATTCTTATAAGGAGTAATATCAGAAACGAATTTTCTCATTGCCACATAAATTTTTTCTTAAAAACTTAACTGAGAACGCCACCTGAAATATTTCACTGTTTATGTAAAAAGACATGCCGTTTCGAGTCTTGCTATCAGTTTTTCCCAAAAACCCGTAGAAGTCCCAGAATTAAGACTTAACTTTCAGAAATAAATTTTCGCATCCCTACACAACAGTTTTTTTCTCAAAAAGTATAGATCACCTCAAATTTGTCACTATTTATATAAAAACACATGCCCTTTCGACCCCTGCTATGAGTTCTTTCCAAAAATCCGTAGGAGTCCTAGAATGAAGACTTAACTTCAGAAACGAATTTTCGTACCCTTACACGACAATTTTTTCTTCAAAACTATAGTGTGCTACCTCAATTTTTTCACTGTCTGTATAAAAAGACATGCCCTTTCGAGCCCTGCTTCATTATTCTTCAGAATTGTTCACTGAATCGTCTTTTTTTTTAATTTCTAATGAGATTGACTAAAAAGATTTCAATTGCGTACAAAACGCGTTGTTATCTCAGAACGCTGATCTTAAATTATCAAGTAAGTGCACGCTCCGTCTTCCGATTCGTCAACTGTCACCGCAACTTCCGTCGACAATTCCAGCTGCGGCTTCCCAGTTCCTCCGGGCCGAACCGAGATCGAGACTTCACAGTCGACGGACCAATTCCGCGTCCGTTGCGATGCAAATCGGACCGAGAAACGGCGGTTTCTCAAAAAATCAACCTCGCCGAAGAGAGAAGCCAGAAACAATGGACGCTCGTCGCGTGTGAAACGATGTGAATCCAAGTATGCCACGCATTCGTTCGTTTCGATCTTTACGCCGCAGAAACGACGGAGCCGTCCCTCCGGCGCGATCTTCCGGCGCGTCCCCGGAGCCGATCGTCAGGTGTTTGTGTCGGTGTGGACGTGATTCAGTGCGGGTTGCTACAGGGTGAGTTCTCTAAGGGCCTAGGATGGTTGTGTCGAGTGGTGGGAGGTGGAAAATGTAGTGACGGAGAAGGGAGGGGAGCGGAAAGTGAATTGTTTTTTCCGTGATTGGAGTTTAGGTTAAAGATGGCGCGCTAGTGATGTTATTCGCTCGTGTGTACAAAATATATAGGGTGTTTTTTTTTCGACAGGTGTCAGACGTGTAGGATTCGACTTCGACAGGGTGTTATTTGGTCAAAATTAACAATAAATAAGTTTAAAAGTCATTGCTGATCATTTCCTGAAAAATTTTGTTCTAGAAACAATGCAAAAAAGGTATCTAGCTACTGTGTTTGCTAATATTAATTATTTATATTTGTATAAATAATAATATACAATAATAATAGTTATATTTACACTAACAGGTCATTTTAAAGCAGTAATATTTTTCTTAAGGAGGATATCGGGGTCCAATTTGAAAAAATTTAATTCTATTGAAATTATTTGCGATAAACATTATCTATATAGCAAAGAAATCTACTCATATGCACATAGCATACATATTGACTAATTAACAACATAAAAATATATTTAAGTGGTTTTAAATTATATTCAATGAACGCATAAAGACTATGTAGATGTGGCAACAGCGCTAATAATTGACTAGCAGTTGTACACACTGCGAACCTACAGACCTCGGACATCGGAGATATTGCGCGTCAAATTCGGGTAAAGATGCGTACGCGTTCAAAAATGTATTGTGTGTAAACTATGTACAATATAATTATTATATATAGCAAATATATCGTATTATCCTCGCGAAGATTTGTATCCTTTATTTAAAATCCGTAAAATCATTTGAACTGGTAAAACAACGAGAAATTAATTATGTTAATTTAGTTCTAAAGAAATGAAATGACACTCGCGCCCATCTCTCGTCCAAGTCAAAGAAAATGTTAGATGCAATTTTGAAGGTTCTGTGATAGAAATTTCATTATTACTCACTGTTCGTGATTTTAATCTCTATTTGAGTAATGTTACAAAAGTTTTGCAACTATAACTATTTTTTTAGGTATAAAGTTTGCTGAGAAATATTTATGTTCTTTTTTTATTCTGTACAAATGCTTTTATCTCAAGTATTACTAATTATATTAATCAAGTAACGAAAACTTTATGTAACCCTAAATATTGCTGGGTAATGATTACGATGTTTTTATAAAACATTAAATATACTAAAAGGATTTATCAACTGTATTTTTTATTCCAATAAATATATCACAGCTCCTAGTTTTTTTTTTAATTAATCTAGTTTTTTAAAAACATTACAAAAAATCATCTGTTGTGGATAATTTATTGTTGATAACAATGTACATGGGATTTAGGAAAAATGTATATGCTTGAAATCAATTTCGTTTTTATCAAGTCTTTCAAATGTATTCCCTCCTTGCTGTCAGCTGATTGCGACGTTGCCACATTAATCCTCAAGTCAGACATAAATGCAATTATTGGTTTCTGTCTCTAATTAATATTTACAGCTATACTATGTTCAAAACTTACATTAGTTTTACAAAAAAAATTAGATATAATACTGTGTACTATCTATGGAAGTTTTGTTTCACAATTTCTACATTTTTTTCTCAGTTATTGGCAAAAAAGAGCTGCACTGTCCATCTTTGCCATATAAACCTATGTTAAAATGAACAACTTTCAACAACAATATCTCAAAATCTAGTTTAAAAAAAAATATGACAGAGGGATCACTGGCTAATACGATATACAAATTTCAAGTACATCTGTGCATTTGAGTAAACCCGATATACCTCCTTAAGTAGTCCCGATTGGCCACTACTTCAGTTTGATCAAGCAACACCCTGTAGAAATGTGATAGTTCTCATTAAAGGGCCATATTATCTGTACAACTGAAGTAAATAAACTTATACACGAAATAGTCACAAAAATTCCATTGCTATTAATTAGTAATATAACTCAGCGATATCATTTTTTTGTTATAATTTTTCTTATTTCTTGTTGAAATATCCCCATTTATTTCACACGTCTCTATATTGTTCGACTTCGAGAATTTGGTTTACCACGAGTGTTGCAACGACATTTTGTTTTCATAAAATGTGGTTGAGGCAATTACCTTGCACAACCCTTTGTATACCATCGTACAATTAGGATTTGGAAAACGTTTCTTCACCAGCATTTCTTGGACCAAAATAAATAATAAAGGAAATTTAATAAGAGTTTAGGTAATAGATTGTGCAGGGTATAATTGGTTTTCCTTGACCACAATGATTGTATCTTTATAGAACTAATTGTTGTTTTGGTAGACTTGGGTTATATAGACGATAAATGGTACTGTAAAAGTTTCACTGCCTATAAAAGAGCCGTATATAAGCGTGTTTTACGATTTTTCAATTTAGAGCCTCTATTTTGTGGAGTCTGTCTGCCTTTGTTGATCCTTTTTCGAACCACTTATTGTTAGTGCTATGCACAATGATGTGAATGTTAGTGGGAATTGAGTAGTACTCAGATTATTCCTTAAGTAGTTATAATTAGGGCTCTCAGAACTGAGCCGCAAGACATAGGCGTGCGCATTATTTATTAAAAAGGAACAAATTGAATTGTCTACAATACATCACCATAAACAGGAATAAGAATTAATTACGACAACATCCGCACGATAACAGAGGCAACAGTATACTAATGTCACGTGAACGTGAAAAGCATTCTGGGGCAGTGGCTCACGCATGTCTCGGTTCACCCTTTTGGCACGCCACTGACACATCAGCGTAATTGGAAAAATGCCGTGAAGTAAACACTGCGGTATTCAATAACGTAAATGTAAATATTCAGTCTAAATAAATTTGGATTAGTGTAGAAGTGTATTTACTTCGTTTTAAAGTATGCTTGCCCTTTAAAAACAGGAACTAAAATGGCGTATTAAAGAATAATCTAAACTGCCATCTTTGGTAGAGCAAAATAATGTAATTCTTGTGCATTTTTCTGAAAACTGAAACACTCGAATTATATGGCTTGTCTCACTGTATTTTGTGGTGTGAATCTAGTATAGTGTGCTTACGCGTATGTGGTGACGTCATTAACGAGACTGATAAAGTCAAGGCAGGCATGGAACTACAACAACTTTCTTGTATTTTACTGTGCAAAACAGATAACGCTTCTGTAAACTTCAAACAAAGTATTTAATTACATAAAATGACTTTTTAAAATTGATTCATACCATGCGTAAATGTAAAAATTGCACGTTTTGCGTCTTACTATCACTTGAACTTTATTGTCTGTTTGTATATAACATTACTATTTGCGTCAAAACGAAAGTGCATCTCGTTACTGACGTCACACGCGTATAGGACGAAACTGAGCGCTGCTGACGAGCGCACCACGCTACATTCACACCACATTGTATTTGTTGATCTAAACACAGTGTACCCAAGTGATTTTTCCACTCGTTTTTCCGCACACATACAATAGTATCTCTAAAATCGAGCTGTCAGCGACACCGATAACAGTTGCCCGATAAATGGTTGTTGTGCAACAAAATCTCGAACTGCAAAGGAATCTGGTACACAACCAATTCCAAATCCGACGTACGTATAATAATATATCGATCAACGACAAGTGCAAAGCGGTTCCGTCGCGGGGTGTTGTGATTCTTCGCGGGTGACGATGCGAGGTTGGGGATGACTTTGCTCTGTGCCCCGTCCAAAGGATGCAACTGCTGTAACAGGATCAAGGAGGCGCTGTTCTCCGTCATGGGGCTGACCTGTCTCGCCAGAGGTAAATTGATTTTGTAACGACGTCCGTGTGAGTCGATGGCGATCAACCGGTAGTTGGAAAAGGAGGGGGGTGGCGGGGGGGATACAGGTGGTTGAGGGCTTGAACTTGTTTTGCGTTTACTAAATTTTTGCAATTTTTAGTGGCTTTTAATGTTTTCAGGATTTTTGTAAGCGCGTTTCTTTGTCCAAAAGGAATACAATTAAATTCGGCTTTCAATGCAAATTAAATGTATACACGGAATATCAGGCGAGAGTTACAAGTCTTTTGATTACTATTATTGTCCTTGTTATTTTAATGGTTTTAGAAAGAGAGAGAGAGAAAGAGAGGGAGGCAAGGAATGCTATTGTTATTCTAAAAAGTGTATCTTTAAATTTGACTAATAAATTCCCAGTTTATTTTAAGTGTAAAAACATGCCACCAATAGGTATAGAAAACTGACAATTTTGTAGAACTTATTTAATAAAAAATAATTAATTATAAAATAGATTTTAACGGAGCAGCTTCGAACCTAAAAAGGCGTTAGAATTTTACGGGCTTATTTGTAAGCAATCAAGCAGTTTGGAGATTATCAGTAAGAACCTCATGTTTAAGGTGGAGATTAAACGATAATGTATTTCAAACAAACTAATCTGTTTGCAGTACATTGTCTCATTATCTTTGTTTATCGCGGTTTAGTATTTTCGTTGCGAAAAAGTTCATTTAAGATTGATCAGCGGTTTGATTTTAATATAATTTAATAATTAATTGGCCCGTCAAGTAAAAGACTATGACGGTCTACTTTTTACACACGCCCTGTATGTTTATAACTTGGGCAACCTTTATGTATCGGGCAAAGCCCAATTAGAGGATGAGTTACGACCTAAAAAAAGAAATACACGAACATTTTTAAGTGGAAAACGAATGTCAATTTATTTCCTCACAAATTAAAATTATTTTCAATTATACAGGGTGTCTCATTTATTGTGGGCGTTACCCATTTTTTCTTCTCAAACGGAATATCCTGTATATTATCGCATTTGTGGGGTTATATATTTTTTGCGTATCTAAATTTCTGTTATCGAAATATTGTTTGACTTCATTTAATAAGGTTTAAAAAAAATGTTTGAATTAGCTTACTACTAAAAAAATATTTAGAACTCGTAATAGAATATGTTAAAAAAATATTTTTTATTTCTCGTTGAATTTAAGGTCTTTGATAAACATATGTGGTTTCAAATGTGCATTTTCGGTGTTATTGTTTAAACAAATTGATATTTGCAACACTCAACAATCCGAAATTACAATAAGATGCAGTTCAAGCAAGGAAAAAACGTATCTTGAGCATATTTCAAATAAAAAATGGTCTTAGACGTTTCAGTGCTTTATCGTTAAATGTCACATAAACGTATGTAAAATTTATTTTTCATTCGTTTTTTAAAGGTTTGTTAAGGTCTACTTGTTGCAATATGCGAGATATTTTTCCGCTGCTGTTTTGGTGTTAATTGTGTAGGAACGCGAAAAAAAGTCGTATTCAGTGGACTAGATCCTACTTATGTATACTCAGAATATTTTTTTAATCTCAAAAAATAGAGCGAAATAGCACAATCTTATTATTTCTGATGAAAAATGGGCACTAGGGTAAACTATAGGTTAGAATTTCAACCTAACCTTAATTGTTTTGAAGTTAATAAGCAATATTATTCGGTTGACCAATTCTGATATTAAATATGTACTGTCTAAAAAAATTATCTGCTAGAAATACTATGTTCTGATTTCCAGACAATTTGAACTTATCGAATGCGTTCGCGCAAGTTGTCTAGGTTAGGTTGGAATTGTTCTCATACTCTGTCTTCAATTATTGATGTATTATCTTTATTTTATAAAAAAAAAACAATGTAGATGAACAAAGTAATTTTTAAGGTTAAGAGTAACCGTAAATTCAGTGAAGTGGAGATGCAGTAGTCATTTGCATATTTGCAACTAGGATTGTTGCAGGGATGGTTGCAAAATTGCATAATTTATTATTCTGTGAATATGTTACAAATCAATCGTAGCTTATAGTATATAGAATTTACAGAGAAACGCATCATCGACCCTTAGGTCTTTTACAAATTTCTGTAAGGGCTCTTATAGCAGAACAGCTAAACAATTCCTGTTATTTAATGACCTTCCTCTCGTAATATTTTATCGTTTAGAAAAATTACTGTTGTTATTGCAATCCGTCTTCCCCGAGATGTAACGCGTCAATGGAGCCGCTAAATTATGTCGAAATTAAATAACTCTTCACTGAAATTATTCCCCTTTGAATTATGGCGGAATTTAACTTTATCTTCCCGGCCCCAACAATAAACAGTCCCGACCAGAAAATGCTAACGAATATGTGTACCTGCATACCGAACACCGCACTACATTGTAATGCCTCTATTTTTAACCGGCTCACCTTTGGTTTTATAAAAAATCGCCGGTTGTTTAATTAATTTATTATTTTACCGTATTTTATGCTTTGTATATACCTGCACGAAAATAACCCGGTGTTTATACAAGATTTATAACGGCTTAAACAATTTTTACCCGGCGGAAGCTCCTGTGGTGCGTTTCGGAGACATTAGAATTGCAAAGACCCCAGAATGACACTTTCACAATATACACTGTGATGGAAACAAATTCACATTTTTTTCCAGCTCAGATTTAAAAAAAATTTTTGAGCCATATTTGACAGACCTATAACATTACCGACATTTTTTAAAATAGGACGCTCTATATTTTACAGTATAAATAGATAGCCCTTCTAATGACGAATTCAGCGATATAAGGTCTTACTTTTTTGTCGCAGTTGTCAAAAAAATGTAAAAAATTGTCTTTTATGTCGTACTAACGATTATAGTTCCTATTGGATAAACGCAAAATAAAATAAGTCGAACACTGTATACTAAGCTCGTGTTAATGGTGTTTATAGTCCTAAGTTAAACTTAGCCGACGCTGTGGCTAAATACGCTGATTAGCAGAAATGCTTATATAAAAACCAAAGTATCTTTGTCCCTGGAATTAATTTTTCCTAATCCTAATGAGCACGATATGCTTGCTGATAATGTCTGGTTCCAATAAGATGGTGCCCCTCCACATTTTCGCCTTGATGTAAGAAATTACCTTATTGAAGTTTTCCCAAATCGATGGTTATAGGCAGAAGAGAGAGGGTCGCTTGAATGGCCACCACGCTTCCCTGACTTAACCCCACTAGATATTCTTGTAGGGTTATCTAAAAAGAAAAGTGTACGTGAACAAACCTGACACTATCGAAGGATTAAAAAATCGTATCAGAGAAGAAATTCTAAACACAACACCAAATGTTATTCAAAATGTAATTGATAACTTTGAACACCGAATTGGGCATTGGTGGTTAATGGGGGCCACTTTGAACATTTGCTGTAATAAAATAAAAAGTAGTACCTAGGTACTAAATTATTGTTTTCATTTAATTCCTCCATTTTTTGACAACTACAACAAAACAGTAGGTATAACTATATCGCTAAATTTGTCTTTAGAACAGCTATCTATTTATACTATAAAATATAGAGCGTCCTATTAAAAAAAATGTCGATAATGTTGTAGACCCATATTTCTATATGGTAAACAAATATATAATTAAGAATAACTAAATATATAATAGGTATGATGATTTAATTGTTTGTTTACTTCCTGTGCACCTAGCCCTAACATCAAATAAATTATTTTAAAATCAGACTTACAAAATGCACAACACAAGAATAAATGGAGAACGTATCACACCCTATCCATCAGCAACGCTCAATCAATTTGAATTTATCAATTTATTCTCTAACTTACACTTTATTTTTACAATACAGGAAATTTTGAAATTGTATTTGGACATGATTGTGCCACACATGTACAGTGGATGTCGCCTTAGCTAAATCCATGCTAAATCGGTAACATAACCTAACAAATTTCTTCTTTACTTTTATATTCTTTTTTACACACATCAGAACTGATCTGCGACTCCCGTAACTGAATTGCTATTATTTTAGTTGCCCATGTGGGCCACCATTCTCACGAAAACAATGGCTCGAATGTAATATACTGTTATAAGCATCTTCGGTGTGTGCTCGATTATCACAATGGCAAAAAATCGCACACTGCTTGTAATTGTTTGGATTCTTGGGTTAAAAGTGTGTCACGTTATGAATGAGAACCTTATATTAGTATTACATATTGCAGTTTTATTGACTCGAAAGCTAGCTGCAACCAGTGACGGGGGCGGCGGCCTATCTGTTTTATCGAAAATTTGACACCTCTGTTTCGTAGCGAAACAAATGATGGTATTTTAAAATGGCATCCATGGCAACGAAAAAAAATGTGTCAAAATGTTTTTCTCTATGAGTACCCAAATGAAATTACACTGAAATTTTACACCTGTCATTTTAAGCTAATTGCATACTGTAATTTCGACAGTTGCTCATGGCAACCTCCAAATTTTTCGGAATTTTTTTCCTCCTGTCAAACAAAATTAATATTTTTTTGACAGCTATCATATGGTTCAAAAATCAGTACCTATCCAGAATTTTGCTTTGTAATGTTTTTATTTATTTTAAAATAATAAATAGATGCAAATAATTATTTACCAAATATTTGTTCTGAGATTTCTTCTATTAACGCTAAATGATTTTGAAATTCTGGCTGGAACCCTTCTGGCAACGGAGAGTAACCAGGAGCATAATTATTAACTTTATTTTTCATTTCCATCAGATATCTGTGTTTCATAAAATACATGTAATAATTTGATGAAATTTTGTTCTGCTGAGCCCTGGTTTTACGTAAAAAAGATGGGATATCTTCCTCCAAAATCTTTTGAATAACTGCGAAAAGGTTTTCTTGATGCGGACTGATTCCAGTTTTTTTCAGTAAATATGGCAAATACTTTAAATTTTTATGAGACATAAGAATGTCCCCTATTTTGGTGCAAGAATTACATATACTATAAGGTTTTAAATTAGTTTTTTGGTTGTTCACTGACATGATTTAATTGTAAACAATTAGAAGCTAGAGAAATTGACGTGACGGATGGCGAAGACGATTTTGACGTCACAAGCCTAAGCCTACTTGATTGCAGTTATGATTTTTTAAGAATCATTGATATATAGCCATAGACATCGGTTTTCCACAAAAACTTACTTTCCTTCTATTTTAGTAATACTAAGTGAATTATATTGCAAACATAAATTTCTGAATTCAAAAATTAAATGTCTTTTTTATTACTAAAGTGAATGTAATGTGCTGTTTTTTATGTTTAATCAGGATCATTAATAAACTGTCATAGACATCGCATTTCTACAAAAACTTACTTTCCTTCTATTTTAGTAATAATAAGTGAATTGTACTACAAAGATAAATATTTGAATTCAAAAATTAAATGCTTTTCTTATTACTGAAGTGAAAGGAATGTGTTTTTTTATGTTTTAATAAGAATCATTTATAAACTGTCATAGACATCGCTTTTCTACAAAAACTTACTTTCCTTCTATTTTAGTAATACTAAGTGAATTGTATTGCAAAGGTAAATATCTGAATTCAAAATTTAAATGTCTCATTTATTACTAAAGTGAAAGGAACGTGTTGTTTTTTTTATGTTTTATTAAATTATGTGACGTTTAAGAAGAAAAAAGTATGTCATGCACCACAAAACAATGTCTACCTGTCAAGCCAACTTTATTTTGGCGAAATAAGTTTCAAAATAAAACATGTCAAATTTTCTTACCGAATCCCCCACGTCCTTGAATAATTAATGTCCGGAAATTTTTTCTCAATCACGCATTTTTCTAGAAAAATTTTCAAAAAATGCGTTCCTTCGGAAAAATTTCCGGAAATAATTCAAGCACTAGGGAAATTATAAGTGAAAATTATTCTGTCATTGTATAGGTAATTTGCTTATTTTCTTCTAAAATTGTATTTAGTACAATAATTAGACCAACTGAAAAATTTAAGTAGATTATTGAAAAAAAATAAAATAAATATAATTTAGGCAGTTTTATTTTAAGTACTATTGAAATATAGGGAAAATGTGTTGCAACATTATTTTTATAGTGGAAGTTCATTCTTCTGCTTTTGTCCGAAATAAACTTTTCAATTACTTTTCTATTAAAGTTTGGTATTTCTGACACCATTGATTTTTCAAAAGATAGCATTACTGTTAATCTGTCTTTACAATAAATTTAAACTGTTACAATTTTTAAAATATTACGTTTAAGAAGAAAAAAGGCATGAATAGTTACTATTTGGACAGTCGGACTAAATAGAGCCCAAATTGCATAGTAATAAGCGCTACTTCCACTCCATCTTTCACTACTGCGCGAGGTTAACCATGACCACCGCTGTAAACACTACAAATGTAGAAGCGAGCTACGCGAAGTAAAGATATTTTTATCTTTTTAAAAAGTTGAAAAACAATTATTAATAATACTAAAATGTTGGTCCGACTTATGGTCTGTTACGATGTTAAAATGAACAATTTCCAGTCACTACAAATTTTCCCATTATCTTACAAGTAGGGATGGCAGAAAAGAAACAACTTCCAAGAGAATCCCAAATCCTTGGATGTTTTCAGGGGCTGAATTTTAAGCCAAATTTTTTAATACATTATTTAAATTTGTTTTTTAAACGTTAATGAAAATATAATATAAATATATAAGGTTGTATCCTCCGGCTAGAAGAGAAGGTCAAAGGTCGCTTTTACGCCGTGACCTCTTATAAAATATAGTCTGCGTTACATGCTTGGGCGCAACAGGATTGAAAAAGGACTTACAGGACAGGCTTTGGGAAGGATCGCTATATCTATAATATTTTATCACCATTATATGTATAATAGGTACCAGCTTTTTTACATTCGAGTATCGAAATAAGTCACGTTTCTACACTAGTACCTACAGAAAATTTAATATGAATACATCTGAACAAATGCCTCTGAGTATGCGTCTTGCTATTAGGAACTTTAATAATAAGCCAGGAATACATTTTTAGATGTTTTTTAATTTTCAGTTTCTGTCAGAGTAATTTTATTTTTATTTGCATGTTTTTTTACTTGGTAGTATAAAACATAAGCGCGTTGGGCGTTGTTATCCGCATTATTCCGCCAAAATTTCCCCGAAAATTTTATTTCGGGGGACTGTTAAGATCTTTCGAGGATTCAAGGAGATTCTAACCTGGATATTTCTTGCAGATGAATGTGGCCAGAGCGGGGGAGAAGCCGACAGTGACGAGGACGTCATCACAGACTATCACCTGCCAGTGTTGGACATGCTGCCTCGGCCCGGACCCCTGCCCACCATCAGCGTGACGCCACACTCGCCCGCTAACAAGACATACCCGGTGTTGGAGGACAGCCTGCAGCAGGTCCGAGAGCTGCACGAGAATGTCCAGCATATGCGGAATGTCACCGTACAAAGTAAGCCCCCTAGCTGTACACTTTATTTCCAGGACCTCGATCGTGACATAGGAATTAATTAATTGATCCCCTATTATCAAAAGTAAATGAAAAAATGTTCATTTCGCAAACTTTTTGGAGTGTGTACACGCTGAATTTGAAAATAATTACCTAAATACAAAACGGTTGCTTTTCCTATGAGAGTGATTCCAAATTAATATAATAGATGTCGCCCACACCGTTATTCTCCTAAATTTTTCATAACCTTATTTTATTTTATGGATGATTTGCTGTCAAAAATATTAGAACATGGTGGAAGTACGCTTACGGCGACAGTGTAGGGAATGACAGAGAGAGAGAAAGAGACAGTTTTGGGTACTATCTTTCTCGCACATGCACGTGATTGGCTAACGCAACTCATTCCACAACGATAAAAGAGAGAAGGAGCGAGTACCCAAACTATCGTCCTTTCCTTTACACTTTTAAACGTGATGCTTCGTCGATTTCGTGACTCGTGATTTGCATTTGTGAGTTGGGTTATGTTTTTGTATGACCTAACCTTACTTTACATAAAGGGTTTTTTGGCGAGCCAAACCACATCAAACCCGGTTAGCTCGAGTTTGATTGTGTTAAGAGTTTGAGTTAACATTTGACAGAACTCGCAAAAATTCTTTTAGTTTGGATATCTTATCAATAATAAAATCGTAACCTATAATCTATGATAGTGCTCGTAGCTCAAGTTGTTTGATTATTTCTTATTTACTACAATTGTTATTCCTAATCTGAAATGCACATCCCTGAAATAACGTTAATGTATAGACGGTTATTAAATCAAAATGGGTTTACCTTTTCACAAATAACTATTCCCACGTAAATGTATCGTCTAAAAGGAAGTTAATAAAGATCTATACAGTGCAATATAGAATATGCATATCTACGATTAAAGTTATTTGGATCCTCGATTACTATTTTTTTATTATCAATTTTAAATATTACTTTGTATTTTTTGCAAAGTTAATCCATTATCAAATTTTTTTATTTACAACTTATACCTATCCAAACCTCTAAAAAAAACGAAGTAGTGACTAGGTACGATGGTACGAAACAGAAAATAAATAAACAAAGATAGAAATATTAACTTAATATCCTAACCAACCCACAAGTCCGGTTTGATGGTTAGGCAAACTCTGCCAAACCGGGTTAACTACATTTCTCGCCAAAACGTCAAACCTCAACAAACTATAGTTAACCGGGTTAGCGGTTTTCTCGCCAAAAAACCCTTATAGATAGATTTTCATGTAAGTTATACTATGGCTGGTATGAAGACCTTTGAACTATTTAATTCAAGTGGCCACTGCTTATCTACCTAAACGTAATGCACTCAAGATTTTCAGCACAGTAAATTTTTAATGTATGCTGATGATATAAAAATATTTTTTTAAATAAACACTAGCCGATTGTTCTCCAGTTCAAACCTATCTTGATATAACCTACCTGCCTATACTCGTACTATGAGTATTGTCCAATGAATAAACTTTTTTGACATATATAAATATTTTTTTTAAGAATTTTACAAGGAATGTTCAGAATTTACTTTATTTAATACAATTTTTTTACATACAGTTTAAATAACTTAACCTTCAAAAAAACTCCATCTCGCATTGTCAGGGACATTTACATAATAATATAGTACCTGTTCTATTAAATCTATAATTTATGTTACTTCTCGAAATTTTCATAAGCTTCTAAGAACAGTGTAGTAGTATAGGAGAATCTCTAAGCTTCTAAGAATATGACAGAAAGAAACAGAACATATTTTAAAAACGTCATGAAACAAAAATAAGTAAACAAATGTATAAGAAAAGCACACTAGGTCGAATTTAAATTATTTTCAATAGTAGAATGATGTTTAATTGTCACATTGTTACAAAAGGTAGCAGGATTAGGTTTCATTGGAAATGTATTTTTTTTTTATATATAGCTCATGATTGATTTATCCTGACGCCCTACAAACGTCAAAATTTGTAGACAAACATCAGCCCTTCCTTTGACTTATCTGTTAGCTTATAAAATGTGTCTGAAAGAATTGAATAATTTGTCTACTAATGTGACGTCACATTCACTGACCAACCTTTAATGCCAGTTAGAAAAAAGTCGCAATTTTTTGTCTCTCTTTTTTTTCTCGGTAATAAATCTATTTAACTTTTTATTAAGACTTAAACAATAACTTTACACATTTTTTAATATGTGATATCATGTTTTAAATCAAGTATTTTAATATAACGTGCGTTCAAATAAAAACGTGGTCAAGTTGGTTCTGAAAATTTGGACGTAGGGCGTAGCGTATAGCAAATGAACTTAAACGTCATCTGTCAAAGCGCTATATCGCCGCTATCAATTTGAATATTTTCGTTTTAAAAAGCTTTTAAAATGGTGTTTTCTCAAGAACAAAAAGTGTTTATCATAGAGTCCTACTTTAGAAATGGACGCAAGATTGATGGAATATGGAAGTATTCTATTGAGGAATGTTTCATAGAATTTCAAAATCAATTTCCCGGCGTTGTAGAGTACAAAATTTTTCAAAGTGCAGTTCAGCGTTGTGTTAATGTTTTTCGTGAAACGGGCAGTGTAACAAGAAAAGAAGGAAGCGGCCGACCTAAAAAGCGGACTGAAGAATTAAAAGAAAATGTCCAACAAATAATGGAAAATGCGCCAAGAACTTCTGTACGTGTTTTATCACAAATGGTGGGAGTATCAGTCGGTACCTGCCACACAGTGTTAAAAAAAGATTTGCGTTCTCCTTTAATTGTTTGTTATTGATATCACGATTATTTATAATAAAGTTATATAGTCATTAACGTTATTGAAACTGAGCTGCTATACAGCTCGTTGAGAAATGAGGTTAAGTTGGTCGCTATTAGTGATGGGACTACTCGAATGAAAATTATCGATTATATCGATTATGAAAATCTCTCGAGATATCTCGAGTGGTCATATAGAATCATTCGATTATTCGGATACGAATGACAGTGGCCACAGCGTTACTATTACCTGCACGACTCGAGCGAGTGCGCAGATGTTTCGATTGTTCCAACGCTCTAACGAGCTACAACATCTCGAGATAAGACGGCCGAGAGGATAGATGAGACAATCGAATATCACCGCACCGACATACAAGAAAAAAGGTATGCAGGAATTTTATGAGTGGCATCGCGGGGGGTTAGATGGGAGCTTTATTTAGCGGGGATAAAAATTCATATGAATGAAAATAATACCAAATTATGTTTTCTATATAATTTTTTTTTTCAAAAAAATCCCAAACAATGGACCTCTTTAGGCGGCGACTACTCATTTTAAACACATGCTGCTGAATCACTCAACTGGCAACGAAGAAATATGGAAGAAATGCCCCAATCCGCGAGTCATTTACCTAACGTCAACATGTTTCGCATATGATTTGGGATAGACCGGAAATTTTCAAAGTGAACTTTCGATTATTCATTCGAATGATCATTCGATTATAAAATTAATTCGAACGGTAACCTCTCGATTATTTAATTCATTCGATTATTCCCATCACTAGTCGCTATAAGCTACTCCCTACGTCCAATGTGTCAGAGCCAACTTCGACCACGTTTTTATTTGAACGCTCGTTATATTGATCATTTAATTTACACTATGTAGACAGCTAATTTAAATTAGTTAATTTCTGTAGCATGATATTAATTTTACATCTAATAATAGTGTATTTCCTAAACACATTTGTCAGCTGTAATTGTTCTTAATTACTTAATGAATCCAAATTCATTAGTGCTAATTATGTGTAACACATACTTTCCGTATAATAGTACATCCTGGATAATAATATGGTATTATCATTGTGAATTTGATAATACATGTATATTGTACCTAACTTTTCGAATATTTTTGCAAAGGAAAAGTGACCATTCGACTTATTATCTTGTGAATTGAAGACAAAGTGTAAAATTAATAGCAAACTGACTTTTATTGTACGATTATCCCACGTCTGCAGTTTGCGGTTTGAGATTTATTAATCCTTATCGGCTGTGTGTAGTCCTAGATGATAACCTGTGTTTCTTTTTAGGTTCCTATGGACCGAATTCCAGGGATTTTGCAGCTTTTGCTCTGAATCCGCTGTTAGCTCAAGTGGCGAGGCTCAGCGCGAGCTGTCCCGTGCTCAATGAAACCATACAAGATCTCGATGTGATAGGCGGGTCCTTGGGATCGTCACCATTGCACCAGCCACCCAGCAGGAAAGGCAGCGGTAAGCCAGTAAAAACTATAAGTCTTAAAGCTCATAAATTCTAACAGCGTTCCATAAGTTTCTCTCCTGTTCTAATTTCTTCTTCTCGCTTGTATGTTAGGCCTCAGGCCTTCTTTCTCGAATGTCCCTGATTTTAGTTGGTACTTTTGGGGCATCGAGACGCACGATTCTCTCATATTAATCGGGGGACATCCAGGTAGTCTTCCTTTTGAAGGTACGTTATCTCTTTTTTCTTTAGTGTCTAATGATCTGCCGTTGTTCGAGTGTTGTCGCCATTTTCAACCAATGTGTGTATAGGTACTTTGTTTTGTCTACGTTTTATCTTTATGTATGCTTTCTTGTGGGTATTTGTCAGTTCTAAGCATAGTGAAATTGTCTCTGGAACCGTAATTCTTTGCTTCCCAAACATTTGTCTGTCACGCTTTATTACATAATTTCTGCAGGTGCAAGAATCTGATGCTCCTTATACCTGTGATGTGTGGATTATTTCTTTGTCTCTTATAAAATTTATAGTTGTGTATATTTTTGGAGATTTATTGAAGTTTACTGAAATATATTTTGAACTTGTAAATTGTTTTTGTGTGAACGTATCTACGTTTTCCCCCCTAGGAACTCAAGATTGGTTGTGCCAACCCGAAACTCAAAGGAGACGATCATGGACGGCCTTGGAGGATCTCACCGGCAACAAGGACAAAATCAAGCATACCCGCCAGAGGAGGTAACTTTTCCTTTTAATTTTCATTCGTTTCCTTTGAGTACATTGGCTTTTGTTGAAGCATTTCTCTGAGCAGTATGGAATCCGAAGCAGACGAGTCGTCCCTGATAGATAACGTAGATGGCAGCACGGTGAGGCTGTTAGGACCAGACGCACCAATTGTGATAAGGCATAGAGGTACGAGAGGTACGGGAGGTGGGGCTAGCACTCATTCATTGAACGAGGCTGATCTACAGGTGAGATATATAAAAAATTGGTAAATTTAAATGAATGGGACGCTTTGCGAATTTTTCAGAACGACTTTAATAAGTTGAAGGCGAAAAGGGAGGCAGAACAGTTACGTCTTCTGCCGGCTAGGCTGCCGCTGCAGAAATCCATCTCGACGCCATCTATCATTGCCGTTAGGGATTTGGCACCCGAGCCGGCTCTAGCCGGGGCACAACCGACCTTACCTCTGTAAGTTCTGCCGTACCGGCTTTTTAATTATTTTTTTACAACTTTTTTAATCCAATATTTTTTTAATATTTTTCACACCGTCCCTAGTTACTGTCACTCGTATTGGATTAAAAACCTGTTTTGAATTTTTACCTGCTTTGCATATTTTGATTTTTAACAGATTTTGTATTTTTTGCACAGTCTTTATAATCAAGATTCTGCATGGATTTGATAATATTACTACTCCGTCATTTTGGATGTTTTTTGATATCGATTCAGTTTTTGTTTTGACTGTATATATTTTTAACAATATTAGGTAAAAATTTAATACGAAGTAACTCCAGTTTTTGCGAATAGCCAGCATATCCAGATTATTCTAATATGCAAAATGTTTTTTTTTTTAAATAGCATAACCTGTGTAACTCTTATATCGGTTACATATTCATGTCGAATTTGACATCCATTGGTAAAAGGAGAACAATTCATGAAAACCAGATTGAAATTTTTTCAGCTACATACTTTGTTTAAAAAAATTCCTGTAATATCTTATAAAGAGGCAATCTGGCAACAATGTGATGCCTCTGATTATACTTAACTTCCAAAATACTGGGCAGTGACTATATTTTAAAAAGATGTGCGAAGAATGTGAATCCATGGGCGTACATTTTAAAGGGTTCCAAAAATTATAAAATATAGAATGACAGATCTTTGTAATTTGTAACTGCAGTTTCAATTTTTGTTAATGCTGGAAGTTCATTTTTTAAATAAAATCTGTAATTTCTATAGATTCCATATTTAATATCATTGACAAGTTCAATTTTTTGCCTGCCATATGTTTAGCTTTTTTGGATTTTCATCATTTTTAAACGTTTCATTTTGACACTTTTCCTAACATATTCGACTTTCGTGACCAAATTCCGTTTTGTACATTGTTTATCATACAGCATTTTTGATCTCGATTGTCAGCAAAGACACTCATATGATTCCATTTTTGAAAACACTTATTAGAGTAATTAAAATTTGAAGAAAATAATAACATCTTTCCACTTGTACGCTTATGACAAGCACAGACGCATCAGCCGAATCTGACACATGACAAAATTCAGAGAAATTAAACCGCGTAGCCTTGGTTGTCTCTCTTTTTCTACAATGGGAATACATAAGATTATTTTGTCAGATAAAATCTAAATCTGGTGGTTTAATTACTGTTTTCTATTTTGGAATATCAGAGAAGCTTTATAAAAGTTACAGGGCTTGTATCATTGAAGAAAAAACTATATAACGCTTTTATTGAATATTGAGTAGTTTATGTCTTTCGTAATAAAAAAATATTGTCTTTTATTATAAAAGACGCTTTTTCTGAGGATATGCTGGCCTCTGTGTATTTTATTAGCTAGAGCAGTGTAGTGCATGTGCTTAGCTTGGTGTCTAGGGGCCGACCCAGCGGGACGGAGAGCGAGACCGAAGAGGAGGGTAGCAGGTCCGGACACGCCCACTACGATCCGCACTCCATCGCACACTTGCACCAGTAAGTAACGAGCATGCATGGGCTTGCATGGTGCAACCCTATTGCACTGTTCTCCACTCCACCGACACCGACTCTTTTGAATCTTTTTTCTTATCATCACACTCTATCTTCTCCACATCTCATGTTTCTTAGGAGTTCTAGGAACCGATAGTCGTAGATAGCTACAGTCTTGTCGTTCTGAATTGGTAGTTTCTTGTACTCTTTTGGTAAATTGCGATTAGTCTCAGTTGTGTCGATGAACGCAGAGTTAAAATTCATTCTTTGATGTGAGAAGAATAATTCAGTAACAGCAATAAGTTTGCGCATTGGAAAATATTGAAAGCGTCATGGCTTTTCGGGTTGTTTTGTCGTGGCCTATGTCCCTGGTTGTCGCAAGTTACAGAGAAAATTCTTCGCCATCGACATCTGCAGTGGTGACTGCAAAAGTTTTACCATTTTTGCGACCTCGTCACCGGATCGGTTTTATAGCGTCAGTATTATTGGGCGCGCGTCTCGGGTAGCTCACTACAGTAGTGGTGGGAGGTTTTCAAGACAATGACGTCAGTAACATTGCGTGCGACTAATCCTGTGGAGTGGCCCTTTGTCCCCACAGATGGCACCAGGTTCATTGGCCAAGGCATAACAAACTGAAAAACCCTGGTACTTTGTACATTAATATATGGCGCTAATAGATCTGTCAAATCGAAGATTGTCGTTTAACTGTCACTGTCAAAATTTCTTTATTCAACTGTCAAAATCACAGAATTACTGTTTAAAGTTTATTTATCGTGTCAAAATTTAGAGAGGAAGTGTGTAGTTAAAATTGTTTTCTAATTATCGGAGAATATTGTTAAACTTCATGCCCGACGTTACTCATTTTCCAGCGTTCCGTATGACAGACATTCTGAGAAGCGACGGAAAAGGGGAAGTCTGTTCTTTAGGAAAAAGAAGGTAAGTCTTACGTCGGGTCGTCGCAATTTTACTAACGTACCGTTTTCAGGATAAAACTAAAAAGGCTACCCACCAGTGGGTGTCGGGGTGCTACGGTACTTCTCAAATATGTGATGTCTGCACTAAACCTTTAAGCAATAAACCTGCCCTATACTGCGAGGGTGAGTCTTTTTTCGACTTAAATTTTCCTGTTATCGTACGAAAAGTTTCGTTGTTGATTTACAAACGTGTTTTGTAGGTTGTGGCACAACAGTACACCAAAATACATGTAAGGACAATATACAGGAATGCGCAAAGAAAAATGCAAAGGTAATTTCGTTAGTATCCTTTATATATACATTCCCCTGAACACGAATCTGAAAGTGCTGGTAAACGTCGACCCGCACTATCTCCCTTCACATGCATTGTAGATGCCTACAATTCATATATTTTGTAATGCATGATTATAGTGGCAATATACACGAGTATTAAAGTACATTTTAAAAACTAATTATAACTCGAGTATTTATTTGCTTAAAAAAAAGGACTTCAGATTCGTATTCAAGGGAACACATTCGTAAAAAATTGATCCCCACTTAAGATTATTAAAATTAAGTAGAAACGTACTTCCAACTAACAAAAAAAATGTTTATTTTAGAGTACAAGTAAATTATCTGGATTCGCCGTTCCGCTGACCAACGCGAAGAACTCGATTGCCAAACGGGGGTCCGCCTCATTACCCGGCTCGACGACGACCACCACTAGGTAAGTGACAGGAATACCCGAAACCTCCTAATAACCACCCTCACGATGACCCCCCCGATACTAAAGTACCTGTGATGGTAAGAACTTAGGCAAAATAACTGTTCAGACAAACGGAAAGTCAATGTTATTTTTGTTAACTGTGTAGGAACTTTGAAATCTATGTTGTTTATATGAGTTCTGATTTAGATTTTTTAGTAGTGTTGGCAATTGGCATGTCTCTCGAAAGTCTCCGAAACTCTCTTTCGGAACCGTTTTACCGAAACTCGACTGAAAGTCCTGCATATTCTCTATTACTTTATTTCTTTAAGCTCTTGTGATGTGAGCGTTTCGAGTTAACATCGACGCCAGTTAATTTCGCGCAAAAGTTCGATGTGTTATGTTTATTTATATGGAACGTGAATTCTACCCGTTACATGATACGGAAACTATATTTCAGTGTATAGTATTAAATATCCTACAAAAAAATATATTTTTGCCGTATTTGTGTTCTCGTTTATATACAGCATGTTCACAGATCGATGAAACGACTCTTTTAAGAGACAAAAAAAGGTGGTGTTAAAAATGGCCTTTTTGTATGAGATACGGCAAAATTTTAAGAAAAATTATTCAGAATGTCTGCAAAATATTAATGTTCTATGTCTGTTTTGAAGTAAATCTAAAATCAAGCAAAAAGTTAAGTATTTTGCAGCTTTTAATGTATTCCAATGTCTTTAGTCATTTTTAAAGTATTTTGAAGTGGTGAGAGGTACAAAGCGAGCCGAAATGTTGTACTGAAATGACAAAATCTCTAATAGGCCAGTTAAATTGTTGAAAATAATATTTTTTTTGCAAAAAATTTAGTTCAGTGAACAAAGACACGTAAAAATTAGGAAAAATTCCGTAAAATTGAATGAATTACTTTATTCCAGTTGAATGTTAGGCCTTCATTTTCAAAATGACGTCCAAAGTTCGCAAAAGACAGTTTTTTTCATTAAAGAAAAACTAAATATTTTAGAAAAAAATGTTTCAGACGAAAGTTGTAGAACTTTTTTAACAAAAATTTTAAACCCAATCCGATGTCAATTGATAAACAAATGTATTAGTTACTGCAAAAAAACTATTTTAAAACAAAAAAAATATTTTTTTACAAAATTTTCAGAATATGTAGTCCTTGGCAAGTAGAATAAGTGAATTTTTGTAAAATTGCAAAATATTTGACAGTTTTTAGCAAAAATTGAGTTTTTCGAAAAAAATACCTTTTTTTGCAAGTTTCAATAAATCCTACAGTAATGCACCCATCTCGGGCTTAAAATTTTCTCTAAGAGTTGTACGTTCCTGTGCAAATTGTGCGTGTTTTGCAAAATAATCGGAAATATGAGAAAAATCTACCGAAACTTTGACTTCTTTTCTTGGGTGTACTTTAGATCTTTTTCTTGTCGTTGAAAGTTAATCAGAATGGCATTATTGCCATTTGAAAGCTGACAATTTTTCACGAATTTTAAAAAATGTCCCACGATCAACAGGAGCCGAGAATTTTTTTTCAAAAAATCGCTACAACCTGATTTATGAATATTAAGGTCTGAAATTTATTTATGTTATAGTTGAATACTATTACTTCAATATGAAAAGTAGTCTGCAATGATTGACTCTTTTTTTTTACAGTAAACTTAATTTTGTTGGCCCTCGTAAAATTCTAAAAGGTTCCTAAAAAACTCTTTTTTGTTTTGAATATACAGGGTGTGCCATTTAACACACCCGCTGCCAATATCTCCGAAATAAAGAAACTTATTTCGGTTCCGGAAACTGGCGTTGTTAGGTCCCTCGAATAGCTTCAAATTGTGGTTAGAACTGTTAGTTCAATTTTTTCTGTATAGATGGCGTGGTGTTACTAAAAATTTTTTCGATCCCTGGAAAGTGGAAATGCGGTCCATCTCAAAGATCTTTATATTTTGAGTAAATTTTGGAATATAAAGTTTTTCCCAATATTTACTTGTTTTCAAGACATATTGACATGAAAGAGACACCGAGACAAAATATTCTTTTAAAATATTGTTATAATGACTTTATTCCCACCACATACTAACAAACAATAAATTTAAAAAAAAACAAATGATCAACTACAGAAAAAAAATTATACAATGGTAAATCTTAAAGCTAATATAGTTAAATTGAAAGACGCAAGCTGATAAAACTGTAATTATTGGAAAACTAATATGTGTCATCTATCGTACATGTTATTGACGTGAGCTACCTATGACTGCATTTTTTAATAACATTTGATAAAATACGGTTCGTCTCTGTTATAAGACTTGCCATTGTACAATTTTTTTTTTCTAGTTGATCATTCGTCTTTTTTATGATTTATTGTTTGTTAGTATGTGGTGTGAATAAAGCCATTATAATAATAGTTTAAAAGAATAATTTGTCTCAGTGTGATTTAAATAAAATAATAGATTTTCCTGTTACATTATAGATTGCATATTGAAATCAACATTTCTCGAAAACAAGTAAATATAGGGCAAAACTTTATATTACAAAAATTACTCAAAATTTAACGATCTGAATACATTTCAACGTTCCAGGGATCAAAAAATTGTTTAGTATCGCCACACAATCAATACAGAAAGATTTGAACTAACAGTTCTAACTGCAATTTGGAGTTAACAACCCCAGTTTCCGGAACTAAAATTTTCTTCATTTCGGAGATATTGTCAGCGGGAGTGTTAAATGGCACACCCTGTATAGAAGTTTTAAAAAAAATCGACATTTAGCCGTTTTTTGCAATAACTAATACATTTATTTATCAGTTGACATAGGGCTGAGCACAAAATTTTTGTTATAAAAAGTTCTAAAACTTTTGTTTAAAACAGCCTTTACCAACCTTTTTCAATGGCGGACCCCTAGCGTTACTTTACAATGATTCGCGGGCCCCTAAAAAATAAAAGAAAAAAAAAAAACTCAATAATCATACTTTTATTTGCAATATTCTCAAGTGTCTATTTTACTCTCATAAGTCTATTTATGTTTATTTAGTTTTAATGAGATGGTTGATGTTGTAATGTTTGGGTTGATGTTGCTCAGTTGGCAATTTGTCAACCACTTGTCAACAGCTGAGATTTATTGCCCAGTGGTCCAATGCAGCTGTGTTTGTATTTCGTTTGCGTGCGCTCGTATTCTTCAACTGGGCGTATACATTTCTATCGCCTCCACGTTTACGACCAGACCTATATTATGTGATATGGGTATGGCTAAATAAATATGGGAACAAGTTTTTCAAATATTTCAATGCCAAATTTAGTTTTTTTTTTTAAATGAAAAAACTGTTTTTGCGAACTTTGGACGCCATTTTGAAAATGAAGTCCTAACATATTGAGCTAGAGGTTAGAGTAAAGTAGTTCATTTCAACGGAATTTTTCCCAATTTTTACGTGCCTTTGTTTACCGAACTAAATTTTGGCATGTAAAAATCTAATTTGATTGGACTATAACTCCAAGATGACTTCTCGGAAATGATTATTCTTTGGTAGTATTATTTGTCAGGGTGTAGACTGTCTTGAAATAAAATTTCATTGGCTTGCAGAGACTTTCTAACTTCGAAACAACTTTTGTGAAACGATTAAGGCACCAAATACATCAAGACGGTTTTAGAATACTTAATAATTTCTGGATACATCAGCGTACTTCAAAACAACTTCAAAATACATCAGAATCTGAGTTATTTTGATATATTTTTAAGCTCTTGTGATGTATGGTAATATGTCCTGAAATTATTACATATTCCAAGCCTGTTTTGAGATATTCTGTTTTAATTTGAAGTGACTTACACATTTGGTGCTAACTAAAGCTGATTTGAAATATTTGCTTTTATTGTGAAGTATTGCAAATTATCCATAAATATATTTGTAATTTTTTTCTACGATCCTCAAATAAAATTTCATGGATTTTGGGATCTAAAGGAGGTGTAAGATAAATGAGAAAAATTTTGTAAACAAGGGACAACTTTGGGGAAAAAATTTTTTGATACAATTTTTCCAAATTTCCAAGGCAATCTAGATTTTTTGGATTTAAAATTGGGAAGATTTTGCGTCTCAATCCGAGAAGCTTATTTTTCAACATCAATCGACATAATTTGTCTCTTACAAGAGTCATTTCATCTATCCAAGGAGATGCTGTAAATGTAGATGCTGGTAAAACTTTGATGAGATTACTAGATTCCTTTCCTGTTGTTCATGGTAATAGCAAATCCTTAATTTTTCACCGATTTCCTATAAATCACGCATACCACGCAAACTTTTCCAAGGAAATGGCGTCGTGTTAACTCGCGTCGTCGCAGTGACTAATTAGTTGACGAATCGTTGTTAGTTGATCTGAAATTACCTGGTAAACTCTTAATAACTATTAATTATAACCTGTGATTCTGTTACATGTTACACAAATATATATATATTTACTTGACTCTTTCTTCTCCCTTACTTTTACTCTCCTTCTTTGCTTGGCTTCCATCACTCTGTTATATGTCGTATTATTGTGTTGCCCCGCTTCATAGCTTGTTATTGCTAGGAATTTTGTTTCATCCCCGTCGGATAACCTTTTCGTCCAAAGCCTTGGTTCATTGCGATCTCGAAACCCCAACGGACAATCGAAAAGGTTATCCGTTAAGCCTTCCTAGTGCGTTAGGGTGTTGTGTTAAATATTATTTGTTTTGTGTTAAGTTGATTTTAATGTTTACAGCAGTTTACTGCGAAATGGGATAGATGTGCAAAAACCATGGTGAGATAAGTCGGTTTTGTGCTCAGTATTGGTTTTTGACGTATATCATGTATTCTGTATATAGTTTAATGCCTTCTCTCTTGAGTCGTTTGCGCACTTGAAGGAAATTCGCAGTATTTATCGAGATTAGTTCTCTTGTCCCTTTCTTTTAACCAAAATAATACATCTCGAGTTGAGAAGACGGGTCTATTAAAGGGGGATGTTAAAAATTTATTTGATTTAAATATTGCCAGTTTCTTACATGTTTACATGCGACGATAAGAAAGAAAAGAACCTATTTAAAAGAGAGTTATCTGTTAACGGATGTATTTTCTTTGAGTTGTTTCCTACAAAATTTTTGTAGATGTAACTTGAACCTGTTTTACATTTACCAAATTGATCTTGAAATTGTTGCAATTCGCCTTATTAAGTTGCAATAAAGTGACCAATTTAAGACCATCAACTTTTGAAATAAAAAACATGATCACAGCAAACCAGACATCATAGTAGACTTACCTACAGCCTATGACAGATTAACTTAAGAGGGCTCTATAGCAAATAGCCAACCAAGCAATACATTTTTATAGATTTTACACATTTTGTCTAAATATGAATTAATGCACAAATAACAGACTTTCCTCCATTCTAACGTGGACTTTCTATAAAATGGAGTTAGTTTGGAACTCAAATTACTTTTTGTTGTAAAGAAATTTGAGTTTCAAACTAAGTCTATTTTATAGAAAAACTATGTTAGAATGGAGGAAAGTCTGTTATTTGCATTTTAATTCATATTTAGACAAACTGTGTAATAAAATCTATAAAAATGTATTTGCCACAGACCCCTCTTAACTGCAACAGATGAATGAGGTGGCGACATCTATTATATTGACTTAAAATCACTCTCATAGGAAAAACATTAGTTTGTACTTGATTGTTTTTGGCATTAATCATTAATTACCTTGAAAATAGTGTAAACAGTAGATTTACTATTTTATTATTTCTATTCGAAACTAACGAATTAATAACAAAATACAAAGCTTCTACTGGTGGTTACATTTAATAAAAATAGCGCCATCTCTTGCATATTTCGCGAATTCTTTAAATATTTCAAATCGGTACCATTGAATTGCCCAACATGTTAACGCTAGAACTATTGTTGTACGCGGGAGCGCAAATGGCTCCATCTGCGGACTCTCAACTGTGCCATTCAGATGGCTACAGTAGGAAGCGACCTGCTAAGTGCAGGTACTTTGTTGCACGACTCCCACCCACAGAGGGCGTAACACAATGTTTGAAGTGTCAGTGTCGCGAGAAACAACTACTCCGAGAGCTATATGCCCCTACCGGCACCGGCATTGAACTCGCAACACCTAGTGCAACAGCTAGGATCGTTTGTCAGTTTAACCCACCAGGCACAGACCACCTACGACACACTGATGAGGACTAATAAGTCCGAAACTGGTCTGTGCCTGGTGGGTTAAACTGACAAACGATCCTAACTGTTGCACTAGGTGTTGCGAGTATAATTCAACGCCGGTAACGGCATATAGCTCTCGGAGTAGTTGTTTCTCGCAACACTGACACTTCAAGCTAGATCTATTGCTTTCAACTTTTTGATCAATTTATTGATATTGCGAGCACCAATTTTTTTGATCGATAATTGGTGGACATAAAACAGGTGTAAAAGTCTTGTGTGTTCTCTACGTCAACCCTTGTAGTTTTGCTTTTTCCGAATATCTGATATTTCAAAATTGGGGGTTGTCTAAATTGCGGTTAAGGTTCAGGGGTGGGGTAATTGTTGTTAAGGTAAATAGCTGTTACATTTGGGTGTGTGGCTAATATGTTGCGTGTTCCCTGCCCCTCCCCTGCAGGAGGAGTCAGCTCTGCTACTCGCCGTGGCGCAGGGTTGCGACAAAGCTCGGAGTGAAGTAAGTCCCTACCCTAACCGTCAGTCCCAGCATATTCTCTTTACACATCTTTTATCTCTGATTTCTAACCTTTGCAAATCCTCATCTTGTGTTACTTTCAAGTACTAATCAGCTCTTCTTTATTTTCGCAATGATTATGGAGTTTTTTATTTTCTTTTATTTTTGGACAGCGACAGTTTTTCTTTGGTATTTATTATGTTTTGAATGGATTTTGCAAAGGCTTTAAGTGCTATCCGCTCTCAAGCATGAACTTTTCTTTCCTCTGTGTACTGAATCGCCAATCACTACCACAAACATACAGTTTATATCACTTTATCGAGACAATTCTGTTTTCGTTTTTTTTTTCTTTTCATTGTTCCAGTTGGCCCCGCTTGTACGGGCCGATATAGCGGCTCGCCTGACAGTTTGACTCACATGCTCTTATTTTCAGCCAAATATTGTGTGATGACAAAGATAGTGATTCGCATCATGGACACCATGATTCCGCAAAGTGAGTACCACATTTTTTTTTTAACATTTTTTTTACGGTAAGCACTGAAAAACGATAAGTTTTGAGTTCAAAATAATTACAATACCTTCTCGTTTGTAATTTACGATATGATTGTAGGGTCGCTGTGTCAGTTTTCGATCATTTAGTAGACTTTTCTACCACCCCTTATATCGGATTACTTTAATCGAAAATGGTCGTTCACTCCTGAATATGAAATTGTAAATAGACTCACAAAACTGACAACAAAGAATACAGGAATAAATACCATTTTCCTCTATTTTTCATGATCATTAATTTACGTAGCACATGTTATATGTCATATGTTTAAATGTTATACTCGAAGTTAGTCGAATTAGAGTTTGTAGTGAAAAAATTATTAGTAAACATTTTAATGCAATTTATTATGGGGAAAAGTATGTAGAATAATAATATCAAAAAAGCAACTCGACGAATTTACGTGTTTTTTAACTCTTTTTACAGCCCACGAAAATCTAGATGACCTATCGGAAAATTTGTCTTTTTATGTTGTAGGCAATTAAATTATCTATAAATTAAGGTATCTAAAGTCATATGAACCAATTTGTTAACTGTAAAATAAAAATTGAACACAGATATATCAGTTTTTGAAAATTGCGCATTATTATTGTCGAATGCGTTGAATGTTGATGTTTATGGAAGACGACCAATCCAAAGACCGATTCGATTGACCTTGAAATAATTACGATAATTACTAAACGTTAATTTTAGAAGTTAATATCGTAGATATAAGTTCTGATTTCTGATTGATGTAAAGAAACGTATCGAAAAAGAAAAATTTCAAAAAGTTGAAATTAACAACGTAGGATGTGCAAAATAGCGTTATAAACAAATTGTCCCATAGTCAGGCAAAATCTGCTCGGGGATTTGCTCTTTTTGCATTAAATAGAGCTTATTTTTACGGTAATTTAAAAAAAAAAACAAGAAAAATAACCTATGCCTCTTTGTTCTCAAGGTAGCTTTTTTTATAAAGTTAATTGCTAATTAACCTTTCTTTAATTGTCTTTAAAATCTCAGTTCGAAACGTTAATTAACAATTAACATTATAAAAAAAAGTTGTTGTGGTAACAAAGAGACATAAATGATTTCTCTTTTTTAAAAATTACCATAAAAATAAGTTCTATTTAATTCAAAAAGAGCAAATTCCCGAGCGGCTTTTGCTTGACCTTTAGTTGTAAAGGGCAACTTAATTTCAACTTTTTGAAATTTTTCTATTTCAATACATGTCTGGATCAATTAGAACCTATATCTACTATATTAACTTCTAAAATTAACGTCCAGAATTAAACGATCAGTTGCAAAAGAACGAACAAAATTAACAAATATCTGGAGCGACAATTTCAAGGTCAATCGAATCGGCCTTTGGCACACATGTTGGTCTTTGGATTGACCGTCTTTTCCATAAATTTCATCAACATAAAATTATTAATTTTTGTGGGTAGCAAAAAAAAGTGAAAAAAACAAATTTGCTACTTATTTGCAATTTGCTAACTCAGCGTCACTCCTTTCGAGTTACTTTTTTGATATTATCATTCTACCATTGAGTGAATGTATTCCTCTCCGTCATAAAGTGAAGTAAAATGTTTACTAATAATTTTTTCAAGTTTTCAAGTTTTATGATCTAATGCGACTGGAGTATTATTTGTTCAAAGCACCTACAGATCAATAGGTCACTTGTGTCAGTAGGCATATAAGCCAGTAGACATAAAGTAGCACACGTCATTATTTGTAGGTTATATCCACATACTTCTATCCTATACTGATCATTTTGCAATTGACTTGAAGCCGAAAAGTGGGGCGACGTACCAGCGTATTCATACGCATGCGTTTACTTTACGGGTTTTGATTGGTTGAAAGGAACCAAGAACGGTGAGCGCCGAGCGGTAAAAAGCCAAACCGAGCTAACCTAAAAAATATTCTCAATTTCTCATTTTGTTTTGTGTTGCGCTAGTGCTTTGGTGAAACTGTTATGGTATAGTGTATATTTTAATAAATAAATAAATAAATGTATCTTTTGAGTTTTATTTCATAATCTGTTTAAACCTGCACTAATTCTTCTATTAATTTGTCTTGTGTTGATATTTAGTAAAAATGTTTCAAAATTATACTCGATAAGAGCCTTCCTTAAGGGCCTTTAAATAGTGTTTTCCGCAAAGACAAATAATTTCAAACATTTAATAACTGAATAATCTAAAGTTTATCAAATAATAGGAATGTTATGTCATGCCACCTGAGTATTTTCAAAGACGCCGCAGTAAAACGAATAAACAGGTGCAAGAAACAATCAAACCATCAAGATTTTAGGTACTGAAATCTACGAAAATACTACCTTTTTTATATATAACTCCACATGTAAATATTCTTACATTTACTTCCTTAGTCCTACATATAAAATTGTTTACTTTTATTTATAAGTACGTGAAAATAATTCTTAAAATGTGGGGTTAGGATAAACAGAAAACGCATGTTTTACAAACGCTTTTTTTTGTTATTATTTTATTTGGGTAAATTTAAATGGTAACAATGAATAAATAAAACATCAAGGATTTTATTTTTGTGCTTACTTTTGTTCTACACGTTTTACTTTTCAAGATTTCAGTACCTAAATATGCCAGAAATTTCACCATTTCTCGGCCAGGGATATGGCCACCTTAATCGTGGACATTATTATCGGATTGGTCTCTTACAGATATTTTATAGCATGTTTTTTTTATATTATCAAATAAACTGCAGAAACCATTATAATAAATAATTATATAATGAACTTTTTTTATAAAAAAAAGATTGTCAGTTGTGCCCGGCTTGAGCGAATAGTGGCGATTTTTTGAAATACTAAGTCTTGTTTAATAAATAAACCAGTCATTTAAAAAATGTCCAAAATTACGAACATGCATATGTATATAGTTTTAAAAGCATATAAATTTGTATTCTGTTTTATTGTATTTGAGCCTGCAAAATATTAAATAGGTTATGCAGATACTTACGTTATTTATTTTAATATCTTATATGTATATAATCGGCTATAGTACAGGGCATGCCGTGACAATCTTTTAAATTTGAATGCAACCGCGCCTAATTATGGAACATGCGCAAAACACACGGAGTACGTCTCGTCCCCCCTTTTTGGAAACAAGGTCATCCATTGAAACTATAGGTAATGATCAGTATAGGATAGAAGTATGTGGTTATATCACACGAATACAACTAGACCCCTTGTCTACCGTTACAATATTGACGACTTTAAATTAAACAAAAATATGATTAGTACTGTGAGGGACAAGGAGAAAACGATTCATGCTCGTTTATTTCTGCTTGAATTTTGCAAAACTAGTCGAGAACTGGTACTGGTCAGATATCCGGCGCAGCGACACTATTATTTTTTTCGTAGGAGATATTTTTTATGGCAATTACAAAATTTTATGACTACAATATGACTTAATATACAGTGTCATCATTATAATATTGACTTTTTCACTGTTTACATTACATTAAACCAACAATCCTTTATTGTAGTTCTATTTTTATTCACGTAACGTGATAAATGTTACAGAAATTTGAATTTTTATGCAATTTTGTTAGAATGTATACTTCACCAATGTTCCAAATTACCGATGCTATGGATTCTGTAAAAGGGTTACAACAAATGTTTATATTGTACAGGTATTTCAATTTGCAGAACTTCATACAAGTGTTATTGAGAAATTAAAGCTTCTTAAGCTGATTATATTTCGTAAATCGACTTATTCCAATCGGATCTTATTAGACAATCATTAAACGTTTTTTTTTAGTTTTCCCGACGACGTACCCATTATACCGCTAGAGTTTCTGTCCGATTCGCCTCTCACAGCGGCCGACCTCTGTTCGGACTTTAGCTTAGGTCTGCACGAAACCGAACCGGACTCGTGGTCCCCGTACGTGGGTAAAGAAATATCCAGGAAACTTAAGGAAAAGGAAGTTAAACGGCAGGAGCACATATACGAGTTCATCTTGACTGAGAAACACCATTGCATGACGCTACTAGTCATGCAGAAGGTAAAGAAATGAAACCGTGGCGAAAATTTAAGATAACACGTCGTCTGTCGTAGGTTTTTGTAGACGGTCTACAAAAATATTTTCAACTGGGCCCGAGCCTGGAAAGGATGTTTCCGAGACTGTTGGACTTGACTGAATTACATTTAGGGTTGTTGTCGAGGCTTAGACAGAGGCAGAGGGAGAACCCCGTGGTTTCTTCCATTGCCGACATACTGCTGGAGCAGTTCTCGGATCATCACGCTTCGAAACTGAAATCTGCTTATGGTAAGTCGTTGATACTTCTGCTTTTACACTGCGTTAGAAGTTTGACTGCTTCTGATCCAGCAGAGATCGATGGATTAATCGTAAATGAGCAAAAAACTTGTTTTTCTTCATGTTCCCTTGTAGGTAAAAATCTATCGGTGCACAGGCTGGTCAAAAGAGCAAACATATTGAGGTTCGTTAATGAACCGAGCTTTTGTACATCGACTTTGGAGATTTTGATAATTTTTACTCGAATACGTTTTTATTATTAAAATTATGTCAGTCAGACGCACGGTTTTTTAATGCACAATTTGAGAATGTTAATGTCAAAAAAACGGTGATATTTTCTAATAGATCGCTTAATTACGTCTTTAAGATTACAATGACGCTTTCAGAATCATGTTCGGTTGAAAATTAATGCCTGTACAGAGGCTTAAAGTTCATAACTTTTGGAGCCTCGGTTATAAACAAATTGTGCGAAAACTATTGCACCTACAGCGCCAACTTTTGGCACACTTAAAGTATGACAAAATCCTCAACTTGTCATAGGTTTTATAAAATTTTAATAATAAATGCGATAGTTATATACAAATTAAAAAAATTGTCACTTTTCTTGTTTTTTTGCAATAACTTTTTTCTTTATTAACCGATTTTAATTTAACAAGTCTCATTTTGTAGATAATTTTACTCCCTACAAGTTGTCTGAGAGTCACTTTTCACTAAAATTGATGGTTTTCCCTGCAAAGTGAAAAAAACTGATTTCCTCACTTATTTGTTTAAATAGAAAAGTTAACTAATACAAGTTTTTGACTCACGAGATGAGAGAAGTCTTATATTATGTTCCTTTAGACAATTTTACAATAATCTCGTGGATAGGACTTTTTTCGAGTAAAAATTTTATTTGCTTGGCCTAGGTATATATTTCGGTTTATACGACGTATAAATGATTTTCAGGCGAGTTCTGCAGCAGGCACAGGGACGCCGTCGAAATCTACAAGTACTATCTCCAGAACGACCAGCGTTTCGGGGAATTCGTTCGGCACTGCCAAACCAATCCCCTGTTGAAGAAAAAAGGCATTCCCGAGTGTATCCTGTTCGTGACGCAACGCCTAACGAAATATCCGCTGCTGATAGAGCCCCTGATAAAGACGAGCAAGGAGAACAGGCAGGAGCAGGAGGCCCTGCAGAGAGCGTTGTCTCTGGTGAAGGAGGTCTTGGTGGAGGTGGACGCCCAGGTGGCGGAGAAAGAGAAAGAAGACAGGAAGCTGGAGATTTATAATAGGATCGACGCCAAATCGTACACTGTACATAGGGGAGACAAGTTCAAAAAGTCTGACATTTTGCAAGGCAACAGGGCGTTGAAGTTCGAGGGCGTGGCCATGCTTATGCAGGGCAGGGGCAAGATGCAAATCGTTTTGGTCATCGTACTGTCCGATGTGCTGTTTTTTCTGCAGGAGAACTCGCACAAGTATACGTTTTTCACACCCGACAATAAGGTAAAGCTTTTTTAGCTAACGCGTATTTGTGCGGAGGTGGACATTTAAACGGTTCATCATTTTTAGGCCGGCGTCGTATCGTTGCAAAAGCTTCTGGTGAGGGAGAAGGCCGGGCAGGACTCCAGGGGAATTTATTTGATATCTTCGAATCCCACGGACCCTGAAATGTTTGAGCTGAAAGTGCACAAGCCGAAGGACAAGCAGATTTGGATCCAAGCAATAAGGTATGCAAATGGTACAAGTTCTGATACTTGATACACATGACATTACTGGAAAAATCGATAAATGTGGAACGTATTTTAATAAATTTTTAATTGTCAGTGTTGCGAGAAATAACTACTCCAAGAGCTATATGCCCCTACCGGCATTGGATTATACTCGCAACTAGTGCAACAGCTCTAGACAGACAGACAGATGGAGCCATTTGCGCTCTTGCATACAATGCAACATGTGTTGCGAGTATAATTCAATGCCGGTAGGGGCATATAGCCCTCGGAGTAGTTGTTTCTCGCAACACTGACAATTAAAACATTGTCTTCGCCCTCTGTGGGTGGCAGTCGTGCAACAAGTACCTGCAATATAGCAGGTCGCTCCTACTGTAGCCATTTGAATGGCACAGTTGGGAGTGCGCACAACAGATGGAGCCATCTGCGCTCCCGCGTACATTGTACTTCAATAAGTTGTTTATTACAGGGAAGCCGTCCAGAGCTGTCCCGAGGAAGACGAAGACAACATCGCCCTGAGTTCCGAGGAACGCCAGAACATGATGGCCTCGAAGCAGAACCAAGTCCGACATTTAGTAGGTGAGTCGTCTTTAAGTTACCGGCCTCTCTGACGATGTCCCTGTACAAAATATCTACAAACGATGCATGCGACATACATTTATACCTTTTGACATTAGCGGTAGATCCTTCCTTCCTTTCCTCTTAACATGATTCTTTTACGATCTCTTAGTGTAAATATTTTTTGTATTGCTCTGTACCCCGACACAGAGGCAGATTCGGATCTTGAAGGTAACCTCTTTACTGAAGAAAGTTGCATGGATATCGTTAGTTTTTTTTCAACTTCTGTGCATCCCTTTAGCCCCTAATTTCCACCAGATTTTTGTGTAAGGGTCGGGAAAGAAAGTCAAGTTCTGAGATGTACAGGGTTAACTTTGAATGGGGTCATATTCACATGGAATCTTTAGAAATGGATATAAATCTCAAATTCTGTCGTGAAACTGATTTAAAAAAAATTTGGTTATTCTCGTACCTCACCACTGGACAGGATAGTGTAACCTCAAATAAATAGATCAATGGCATCGTTGTCAGATCTCGTCTTTCTCGATTTGTGTACATGTCTTTTAATAATATCACATACACATTTGACAAAGAAGACAGACAAACACACTATAGTCCAACCAAATTACACTTGGAGAAAAAAAAATTGTTTCCTGGAGTTTTTTAAGTGGAAACAGTAAAAGGGCTTATAATAAAGTCGACGTCAAACAAAAAAGTATCTAATACAAAAGTTGAAGATCATGCAAAAATCTACAACTTTTGTAGAGGTCACTTTTTAACATAACCTCAAAATTTCCGAGAAAAATTTGAAAAACAGGTTTTTTTCTAATTTTTCGCTTATTATTTCTCATTTCCGCAAAAATAATTTAATTTTAACGAAACTTGGTGAAACTGTACCTTTCTGTGTCTTAAATAACCACAAATTTTTTTAGATAAAAAATCAGGAAGTTTCCGAGATATTAATTTTTTTCGGTCTGAAACACTTTTTTTTCAAAGAAAAATTCTACTTAGAAAAATCATCGTACAGAGATCTGCCGGTGATAATTTTTTTCATTTTGACATATTTTTTGGTGAAATAAAGAAATCTGTAATCACAGTTCAAAAACAAGCTCAAAAATGCAAAATAAATAAAAAATGACTTGCAACAATGAATTTTTCAGTTATTGTTGATCATTTGTTTCAATTAACAAACATTCAAAAACTCATTACACCATTCAATTCTACGGAAAAAAATAAAAAAACTGTCTCATTGTTTGCCCCAAAACTTTATTTTTGTACAGTATTGCTATAAACATCTAAGTCGAATTACAAATGCACAAATGATAAATTATCTCTGGACGATTTGCGATTTCAGCAATAGAAAGTATTAACTGCAGTCTACTGTTGACGCGAAACTCGAAAACCCGAAATTTTGCAAAATCGTTATATTTTTTTTCTGGCTTTACTTGAAAACGAATTTTAAAATAAATTGCATATTTACATAGCCACTTTTTTCGCTCTATCCAATGACGTCAACATTTTTGCAATCCGATGTTTCGTCTTCAAAGGGCCATCATCAGATTAATTTTTTTAAATATGTCGCTATTTTTATGACAAAATCTAGTCATTTTTAATTCTGAATTAGATATTACTATTGTAATCGCTTAAACAATTTTTAGCTTGTTTTAGCTGTCATAAAAATAGCGACGTATTTAAAAAAATTAATGCAATTTATTTTAAAATTCGTTCAAATAAAACCAGAAACAATTTCGCAAAATTTCGGGTTTTTTCGGATATCTCCGAAACTAACCAAAATTTTTAAAATTTCTAAGCGGCATATTGTTAGGTATAAAAAACACAACTTTTTTCTAATCTGAGCCACCCCATATCTCTTACCGTTTCCTAGATCCTAATGTTATCCCATCCTTATCTTGGACAAAAAATAAGTACACTAATCGATCCTCCGAAAAAAAAAATTTTTATTTATTTTATTTATTCACTATTCGACTTATGTTTATAGCAATACTGTACAAAAATAAAGTTTTGGGTCAAACAATGAGACAGTTTTTTTTGTATTTTTTTGGTACAATTGAATGGTGTAAACAGTTTTTGATTTTTTATTATATATATAATACATATTTTTTTATTTTACCAAAAAGTATGTCAAAACGAAAAAAAAATATCACTGTACGATAATTTTTGTAAGTAGAATTTTTCTTGGAAAAAAAAAGTGTTTCAGGTTGAAAAAAATGAATATCTCAGAAACTACTTAATTTTTTTTATCTAAAAAAATTTGTGGTTATTTAAGACACAGAAAGGTATACTTTCTTCCAATTTCGTCAAAATTAAATTATTTTGCGCAAATAAGAAATAAAAAACGAAAAATCAGAAAAAAAACCTGTTCGCATTTTTCTCGGAAATTTTAATGTTATGTTAAAAAGTGACCTCTACAAAAGTTGTAGATTTTTGCATGATCTACACTTTGGTATTCAATACTTCTTTGTTTGACGTCAAGTTTCGCCAGAAATTCCAATGATACAATTTTTCATAACTTAAGAGCATAATTTTTAATATAATTTTTCAAAAAAACTGTATTGGCAATCGATCTGATATTTTAACATGAGGCAGTTGGCATATTTATTAACAGATTTCAATGATTTTGAAAACTTACCATTTTTTTCGGTATCGAACCTCCTTAAGTGCAGTTTATTATCTCTAAAAATCTGACCCGTCAGTTAAAGTTACACCCTGTATATTATTTCACCCCAATTTGCATTTAGCATGTTAAAAAAAGTGAAATTCTGTGCAACGGTTCATTGCGGCACTATTTTTCTTTCGGTTCATGAAACTGTACTGTATTAAATCAATTGATATGTAAAAAAATACTAACACTCACAAAATGAACACTAAACGATTAATTATTAGGTGCTCTGAAGTTATCAGCAGGGATGAAAAGTTAACCTAAAAAAATCCCTATCAGTCGCTGTATTGTACATATTTTAGGTGAGTCGTGAGTTCTGACTAACAGCGCCGCTTCAAATTGTCGGTTATCCGATGCTTTTTTACACGAAAACCATCTCCGAAAAGATGATAGTTACAATTATTGATAGTCGAAATAGTGCATGTGTTGGCATGAAATAGTTATCCCTAACTAGAATCTAAAGTGTATCTAACAATGCGCCACATCCAAGTTTTATTTGAATTGCTTTTTGTATAAAAAAAATAAAATGAAAATTTTCCGAAAGGAAAACTTGGAAATGGCTAAAATAGAACTAAACCGGTGTTCGGCTAGCAGCATGAGAAATAACAAATGGAATGCGTAACGTTGTTATGATAATACCTTCTAATAGATTTTCTTAATTAAAGAACCTGTTTGTCTAATAGTTTTTTCTTTGTTTCGGATCGTTTCCGTAATGTTATACATCAACCGTTGCGTTGTAGGTCTGTTACGCCAGAAAGACATAGAGCAGGCTTTATTGTTGGAAGAAAAAATGTCGTTACAGCTGAGGCTGTTGGCCGCGGCTGGACTGGATCCGCCGTCGCCGCCGTCTTATAGACATCTAGTGAACGAGAACGCCGACACGGGGCAGATGTGGAAGGAGGTTTTAACTGCTGTCCAGGTAACTGCTAAACAAAATTACTTTATTTACAATTCACTGGAAATAAATTGGTTTAATTTAATGCCATCAGAATCGACATTTGTTATATTCTGTGGTATAATTGCTTCAACTTTCAACTGTATTTCATTTCAACTGTCAGTGTTGTGAGAAACAACTACTCCGAGGGCTATATGCCCCTACCGGCATTGAATTATACTCGCAACAACTAGTGCAACAGCTAGGGTCGTTCGTCAGTTTAATCCACCAGGCACAGACCGGTTTCGGACTTATTAGTCCTCATCAGTGCGTCATAGGTGAGACAACCGAACGAACCAGCTGTTTTGCGTCGTATCGTCACGACAATAAGTCCGAAACCGGTCTGTGCCTGGTGGGTTAAACTGACGAACGACCCTAGCTGTTGCGAGTATAATTCAATGCCAGTAGGGGCATATAGCCCTTGGAGTAGTTGTTTCTCGCAACACTGACAATTAAAACATTGTCTTCGCCCTCTGTGGGTGGCAGTCCAGTACCTGCAAGGTTGCTTTCTACTGTAGCCATTTGATTGGCACAGTTGGGAGTTAGCACGACAGATGGAGCCATTTGCGCTCCCGCGTACAATGTATTTCGTTTTGTTAGGAGGTTAGTCAGCTGGCCAGTTCTCTCTACACGACCGGCACTAACCTGTCGAGGAGCGTCAGCTCGGCCGGCGAACACCAGAGCGACACTTACGTTTCCCCGATACTGCCCAAGCGGGCCGAGACCTTCGGCGGCTTCGACAATTGCAATCCGGGGCCGTTGAAGTTGTTGGGGAAGAAACTGTCGACGTCGAGTACCCCCGCCGGTACGCCCGACCTGGACAACATCAAACCTGGCGATTCACGATTATTTGTGAGTGTGAAATCGCGTTTTACCGAATCCGATAATGATCGTGTACGATTTTTTTTGTAGGAACGGTTGCCTTATAGAAACTGTGTGATATCAGGAGGGCCTTTAACTAATGGCAATACTGTAAATGTAAATAGCGAAATTCAGAATCAACCGCAACATCACGTCCAGCAGTCGCAGCAGCTGGGTGCCGCCCCGGACGGGCCTGCTTTGCTGACTTTAGGGCGGGAGCAGCAGTACGCTGCCATACAGCTGTCGCATTACGTCTACACTTTGCTGTGTATTATATCCCAGCTGATGACGACCAATGAGAGGTAAAACGCGAGTATTTTTTTAGTATTCTCGTTTGTAATCTAAAATTAAATTCTAGTTTGCAAGCTCAAATAACGACTCTCAGAGGCGGGGCGGATTCGAAACAGTACAGGCACAACCAGCAGTTGGAAGAGTTACGTAATTTCCAGGATAGATTGAGCGGGGAAAAAGCCGCGTGGGCTGCCACGAGGGACCAGGAAGTCAAGGAGTTGGAGGAGAAGAAGGCGGAGCTTTTGAGACTACAGGTAAGACGTAGATTTAGGGAGTAATTCTACGTCGTGTTCGTAAATTTTGACTGTGACATTTTTTAGTCGTTAAAAGTTAATCGAATCATTTGAAAATCTGGCAAACGTCCATTATTTATAGGTTATGTGTTCGAGGGAAAAGGGTCAAATATTTATAATTTTTAAGTAAGAAATCAGATTTTTTAATTCGACTTTCTCTAAAAAAGGACTTGTTGAGGCTAAGGCCAATGATGAATGAATAATACTAGTTATTTGTTTGGATGTAGACACGTTTTCAGTATTGGTGAGGGATAATCTATAAAACATGTCATGTCATTGCAGCTTTAGGATTAGGCCTATCAGCACAAAGCATTGGTCTGTACCTACTGACAAAGAGACCTGCTAATCTGTAGGTGCTATGAAGGCATGATGAGTATCGCACCTGGAGGAATAAGCTTTTTATCTAATTTTGTGGGGAAACAATTACTACACGGGGGATATATGTCCCCATTGGTACTAAATTGCAAGCCCAATATCTAGTATTTGCTAAATAATTGTGTCACGTCTTATAACCTCTGGAGTAAGTGATGGCAACGCAATTAAAACTAGGACGTTTGAACTACTCCATTAAATTGTTGACACACCGCTAAAATAAATTTCTTATTAACAGTCTTAAAGAGTGACCCCAAAAAACATGTGATTTTCGCCCGTTTTTTCACAATTCGCAGAGAATTAAAAAAAAATACATAAACATATGTTTTTGGTCGCAAATTACTTGTCGTAGTAGTAGTAGTAGTATTTTGAAAATTTTAAAAATCACCCCTTCTTAAGGGTTGAAAAAATGCCAAAAATAAAGATTTTAATATTACCAATTGATACAAAAACTATTACCATGTGAATTATCTTAATATTATATGATATTCTTTATTTTGGGGATGATTCCACCCCCTGAGCACGCTTAAGGGTGGATTTTCCAATTCAACATGCTTATTTCAGTCATGAGAATAAATCTTCTTTGTATCAAGAATCATTCGATAAAAAAATTCACATGCTAATAGTTTTTATATTTATTAGTAATATTCAATTCTTCATTTTGGGTGTCTTTTCAACCCCTATAGGGGTGATTTTTGAAAATTTTCAAAAAACTAAAAGCTATGCTCATCTTAATTTTTTATGACGAGTAATTTGAGACCAAAAACATATTTTTATCTATTTTCTTTAGGTGGATTTTTTATTTTCAAAAATAAATATTTGTCATATAAAGTAATGCTCTACGGGTTTTCTTTTCCAAGCTACAGGGCGCTAAAAAAATTTCAAAAAATTTAATTTTTCAATATAATTTTCAATACAAAAGTCTTTTTTCAATGCCTATTTGACTATATTCGGTGGCCAAGTCAAAGCATACTTCATAATGTTTGTGTTATTTTTATTTTCCTATGTTGGCAGTGGGAAAAAATGGTATTTACAAAATTTTTATTTACGGAAAAATTACAAGAGCTAGAAATACAATGCAGGAGGGCAATTTTGTTTAAAATAAAAAATGGATCATAAAAAAATATTAAAAAAATGTTTTTTCCACAATTTTCTTCGAAAAACAACACGGTACAATTCGTACGCACGCCTCTGAGTAACTTACAATGTCAATCTTTTTCCTGTTACTAGGGGATTATCAAATTAAGCTAAGGCTAAAATTTCATTCCATTATCTTATAATGTTCGAAAGTTATTGGAGAAAAACTAAATTTTTTTAAACATTTTACCGCCCTGGTTTACAGCTTGGAAAAGAAAACCCTTGGAATATAACTACATATGAGAAAAATTTATTTTTTAAACCAAAAAATCCACCATTTAATTTATTCCCAACCTTTACGTTACACCCAGTTTAAATCTGCCGTTAGTATTAAAAGAGTTGATGTATATGTGGTCACTAAAGTACGCAGAAAACATGAAATTGTTGTCAACAATTATTTAAGGTTAGGAAAGATGTTTGCTACTACAGATAATAGAAATTTTAACATGTCTATAACTAAGACGTTTGAACTACTCCACCAGATTCCTGACAGCACTGAAATAAATTTCTTATTAACAGTCGCCTTAAATTTTGATGTAAAGAAGCAGAAGAAAAGATAAATATTTTAATGTGTATTTAAAGTTTAATAGCGAAATACAGAATTATCCTGCTAAAGCGTTAACATCGTGAATAAACCCATTCCTTTCAGGAGCAAATCAGGGCCGAACAGAACGACATAACCCAGCAGCGGGAGCAGCTGTACAGGAAAATGGAAGTCCTTACCAGCCAGGGTCTGTTGATATCCCCCAACGTTGCCATACCCGTCAGCGGCCTGGCGGACGATAGCAGTAAAGAAACTTCGGAGGACAGCAGTCCACAGTCCGACACTTCGTCGGCCGCTAGCGGGGTCAGTTCAACTACGTCTGGCGTAAGCGCCGCCAATCAAACCTCTCTGGGGCACTCGGCGTCTACGGCGGAGAGGCGGAAGGATTCCAAGTGGACGAAAAGTAAGTATTGCTTTGTTAAATAAACAAATCGTTTCAAAAACATTTTTTTTAGGCGGTGTCCAAACAAAATCCCAGCTACCGCTGAATCTCATATCGGCGACGAATCAGCAGAAGGTCTCGCAGAATGTGTCGATAAAGCAGCAGATTCCGTTGAAGCTCGCTTCGAGGTTAAGTTCCGGTAGCAGCGGAGAGGGACAGAAGGGCGGCTCGGGGGGTCCACAGCAGATGTTGCCGCTGAAGTTGAGCCAAGACGAGAAGATCAGGAGGACAAGTACTTCTGGTTACCAGCGGCTGGGATCGGATAACAGCTTCAGCCCTCCGTCGGGAGATACAGTGAGTACGATTGTTAGCACCTATATTTTAAAGCCTCACGTCCGACGCGTCACCGACCAGTCTTGTCACAACTAGTGTGAAAAATATGTAATTAAAGTACAAACATTCATGTCATCCAAATAATCATACGTATTAAAAATAATTTAGGTACTTCCCAAAAAGCAAAATTCAGTAATTTTTAAACGCACAAGTAATGTCCACCACCATTTTCTATGCACACACAACACCTTCGAATCTAATATTCGCGCAGTTGCACAGTGGGAAATATTGGACAAAATTCTCGCCACTCACCAATTTTCATCATCTCGTCGTGATTTTTTTTTAATAATCTCGGGGTAATCTGAATTTTCATATTCCAGTGAGGTTTTTTCGAAAAACACTTTTTTTTTTAATGCTTAGGGAGCGCCCCAACCTCAATGTCGAAGAAAAAATTTTTAAATACTTACTCGATGTTCAGTTGTAGAAAAAAATGTTCAAAAAGTATCTGCTATTAATAACATTGATTATTATGACCCTTGATGATATATCTGATGTTTTTTCTTGAAAAACCTAACCTCAAAATTATTAATTGTAACCTAAAAGCCTTAAATGAAATTTACATAGAAAAAAAAAGTTTTTTTACATGCCAAAAGTACGAAATAGATTCAATAGAACCCTATGTAACATGTTATACCCAAACCATGAATTTGAATCTAAAAAACCTAACCTCAAAACCAACATTAACTAAGTTTAAACTCATTGCAAATTTAATAAATGGTTAGTAATAATACGCCACAATAATGTTTTACAAACGTTTTATTGCTATGTAGATGTTTTTATGGAATTTTTCTAGCAAAAAATTCGAGATAAACAAAATTTCAGGGTCTTTAGGTTATGTTTCCAGTTTTGTCTAAAGGTTTTGGCAATCGCGATGATGAACACTCAACAAAAATACATTTGTACTTTTTATTAAAGAAAATAATTTTTTTCACTCTAATGATTTGACAATCTTTCCAGTTTTGAGGTTAAGGTGTCAGATTTGGGTACAGTATGGCACAAGGTGTGTGCTCTCGGAAAAATTGTTGATCGAATCTCTGTACAATAAATATTTTTCATTTTTTTTTTATTAATCCTTAATTTAATGAGTTTAAACTTAGTTAATGTTGGTTTTGAGGTTAAGTTTTTTAGATTCAAATTCATGGTTTGGGTATAACATGTTACGTAGGGTTCTATTGAATCTATTTCGTACTTTTGGCATGTAAAAAACTTATTTCCAATGTAAATTTCGTTTAAGGCTTTTAGGTTAGAATTAATAATTTTGAGGTTAGGATTTTGAAGAAAAAACATCAGATATATCATCAAGGGTCATAATAATCAATTTTATCAATAGCAGATACTTTTTAAACATTTTTTTCTACAACTGAACATCGAGTATTTAAAAATTTTTTCTTCGACATTGAGGTTGGGGCGCTCCCTAAGCATTAAAAAAAAGGGTTTTTCCAAAAAAACTCACCGGAATATGAAAATTCAGATTACCACGAGTTTATTAAAAACAAATCATGAGACGATGAAAATTCGTGAGTGGCGAGAATTTTGTCCAATATTTCCCACCATGAGTCGCTGGAAAACACCTCAAAAAAAAAGGAAATAGTTGTACGCAAAAAACACTCGGACACAGTCCAATTCCAGATACCAACTGATTGCTTGACAGCTTACTACCTCGTGTTATGCGCCCCGCCGTTGCGTTTATTACAATGCTAATTATTTTTTAGAATTAAGCATGAAGAAGTTCAAAAAAGTGATAAACATTGTTTTTTATGGTATTCTATGCACGCAGTTATGTCAATATTCCTTAATTAATCGAACTTTTGAACATCAAGTTGAAGATTTGATAATTTTTTTTTTCGGAAATGGTTGAGTTTAGGACCCATGAATTATAAGGTTTTTTTGTTTATTTTAATGTATTCTATCGTCTGTTAAAATTAAGGCAATCAAGCTTGTAACACCCTGTAGATAGAAATATTGAGGTATTGCAAAATATGTGAAAATTTATTAAAATACGTAAAAATATTTTGTAAATTTGGTGGTTGGTAATTTGAAAATTTGCCCCAAAATGGCAGTTGACTGCGGTTTTTTATCAATATCTAGACTTTAGAATTTGATGATTGTTGCGCCATCTCTGTGCCGACAACTTTACAAACGACTCGTATTATTTAATTTTTTTACGGAATAGTACATCACTATCAAAGCGACGTCGCACGTGGACCGTGAAGCTTTATAATTTAGTTAGTAATGGTAGATTTTTTGAGTTTTACGTAATTTTAACACTTTCTGAGTCGAAATCAACCGATTTAAACGATTCTTTCTCGATTCTCAGACACCGACCAGCTTGATGCATTCGCACACGAGGACCGGCTCCAGCCCAGCCATGATGCAAGCCTCGCCCCCCAACTCGGCCTGCCCCAGCCAGTGCCAGAGTCCCGGAAGTGCCAAAGCCAGCCGTACGCACACGTACCCGAAGCTGCCGGACAAGTTCAAGCAGCAGCCGCCGGCCGACGAGGAGGTCATATATTTCTGACGTCTCTCTAGCAGGACAAAGTATTTTATTTATTCTCTTATCAACACAAAAGTGTGAATATTTTATCAGTTACTCATATAGTTGCATCCGTTTTTAACTTTTTATTTTAGTATTATTTATTTAGCCGTTAGGATTTTTATGTAACCAGTTAATTTTTAGACGTTTTTATTGTTATTTATAACGCTTTTCGGATTATTTAAATTTTTAATTTTATACGAATTGGATGTCGTTGATGAAACTACTTATTTAACTCGGCTTTGTTTTCCAAAAATTGTGTTCGTCTTCCTATGATATTCGCAAAAGTCAGTATTTTTAAATATACTCAAATCTTATGACAATACAATATTCGAGGATGTTAATTTTCATCTTTGAGAAACGTAGGGGTACTTCTAGTTGTCTCGTTTGTTTCCGTTCCTTCTTGTATATAAATTATCCATAGATAGTCGAAACCAACAGTTGAAAGTCCTTAAAAGTGTTTCTATCCTGATTTCGATCGTCTTTCAACTTCCAAAATAGACCATCGTTGATTACTCTAACGTAGCGTAGAACCGTTCCTCACAGGAAAAAAACTTCTTGGACCTCTGGTATTTTGATCTCCTTTGTATATTCGTGATTCTGTTGGTACGTAAATTTATATATAAACAAAAGGCCTACTATATTTTTGTCTCTTCAGGTAAATGTGTAGTTTAAAAGGGAATATTTTTATAAGATCTATTTATCCCTCAATCTCAACAAGTAGAAATGTGTGGTAGTTTTTAAAAGGGGGATGTTTAGGGTCCGAGGTCGTACGACGTTAAAATTAGTTTAGGATTCGACGGTGAGTACATGCGGCGAGTTTAAATACGGGCGGTGACGCACACCTGTTGCTGTTCGAGAACGTTTTGTATAAAATTCCTTATCATTGTTTCCGACTGCAGGTAAGTGGACACGTAATTCTACCCGACATTACATTTTGCAATTTGAGGTTGGCTTAAAGCAAGCAATTGACAGTCGGTAGGTGTGAATTTGTAACCGACACTGTAATTTTACAGTTATCAAGTGTAAATTTATAAGTAATGTCTCTAAATCTGTCGATTTTATCAATTGATCTATTTTGTAAATTACTGGTTCAATCAATTGGTTCATTTAATGTGAATTTGTAGTTGAAACTAATTTTACATTGGCTAAATGTAAATGTACAGTTAATACCTTTAAATTCATGGTTGTTACTGTGAATTCTTTTACATAAATCGCTAGTTCAGTAATTAATACTTGGTAATGCAAATTTATGGTTGAAACTGTAATTTTACAGCTGGTAAATGTAAATTTACAGTTAACGTCTCTAAATTCTTTGTTACTGTTAATTGATTTATTGACATGCTCGGTTCAGTAATTGACACTTGACGTAAATTTGTAGATGAAACTAACTTTACAGTTGGTAAGTGCAAATTTACAGTAGTAAGCATAAATTTGCTTTGTAAATTTACAGTTAATGTCTCTTAATTCGCGGTTGTTACTGTGAATTGTTTTATGTAAAGGTTTAGTAATTAACACTTGGTACTGTACATTTTTGGTTGAAATTGTAATTTTACAGTTGGTAAATGTAAGTTTACAGTTAACATTTTTAAATTCATAGTTGCTGTTATTGATTGATTTTATCTGTTCAGCAGTTAACACTTGATGACGTGAATTTGTATAAGAAACTGTAATTTTACAGTTGGTAAGTGTAAATTTACAGTAATAACCATAAATTTGCAGTGTAAATTTACAGTTAATATCTTGAAATTCGTCGTTTGCTTTATATAAATTGCTGGTGCAGTAATTAATATTTGGTAATGCAAATTTATGGTTGAAACTAATTTTGCAGTTGCTAAACGTAAATTTACATTTAATGTCTCTAAATTCGTGGTTACTGTTAATTGATTTATTGAAATTATGGGCTCAATAATTGGTATTTGATGACGTGAATTTGTAGATGAAACTGGTACAGATGATAAATGTAAATTTACAGTAATAAGCATAAATTTGCAGTGTAAATTTACAGTTAATGTCTCTAAATTCGTAGTTACTGTGAATTGTTTTGTATAAGCTGGTTCAATAATTAATACTTGGTAATGTTTTATGGTTGAAACTGTAATTTTACAGTTGGTAAATGTAAATTTACATTTACTGTCTCTAAATTCGTGGTTACTATTATCTCAGTAGTTGGCATTTGATGATGTGAATTTGTAGATGAAACTAATTTTACAGATGGTAAGCGTAAATTTACAGCAATAAGCAAATTTACAGTGTATGTTTCTAAATTCGTGGTTGTTACTGTGAATTGTTTTATGTACAGCAATGGTTCAGTAATTAATTCTTGGTAAATGTAAATTTACATTTACTGTCTCTAAGTTCGTGGTTACTATTGTCTCAGTAGTTGGCATTTGATAACGTGAATTTATAGATGAAACTGTAATTTTACAGTTGGTGTGTTTATAGTCGTAATAAATTTCCAGTGTAAATTTACAGTTAATGTCAGTTAAATTCGTGGGTATTACTGTGAATTGTTTTATGTACAGCACTGGTTCAGTAATTAATACTTGGTAATGTAAATTTATGGTTGAAACTGTAATTTTACAGTTAATGTTTCTAAATTCTTAGTTACTGTCAATTGATTTACTAAATTTATGGGTTCAGAAGTTGACACTTGATGACGTGAATTTGTAGATGAAACTGTAATATTACAGTTGATAAGTGTAAATTTACAGTAGTAAGTATAAATTTGCAATTGGACAGTGTAAATTTACAGCTAATATATCTAAATTTGTGGTTGTTACTGTGAATTGTTTTATGTAAATTGCTGGTTCAATCATCTGGTTTAGTAATTGATTGATTTGTGACACTTCGTAAGGTGAATTTGTAGTTAAAACTGTAATGTTACAGTTGCCGAGTATACGTTTACAGTAACAACTGTAAATTTGCTATCGGTAAATTTACCGTTAATATCTCTAAATTCGTAGCTCTTATTGTCAATTCATTTATTTCGTAAATTGCTAGGTAAATCGGCTGGTTTAGTAATTTATACTTGGTAATGTGCATTTACAGTTGAAACTGTAAACTTACAGCTGATAAATGTAAATTTCTGGTCAATGTCTCTAAATTTGTGGCTCTTGCTGTTAATTTGACTTATGTAAATTCAGTTCAGTAAATGACGGTGGATAATGAGAGAATCTAGTTGAAACTGTAAATTTACAGTTGGTAAATGTAAATTTATGGTAACGTGAATTTGTACATCAAACTGTAATTTTAGAGCTGGTAAATGTAAATTTACATCGGATGCATGTAAATTTTGATTGTAAAAGGTAAATTTACAGTAACTGCGATAATTATGAAGATGAGGTACTTGGTTAAGATTCTTGATGAGTTTTAATAAATAAGGAACATGTGGGCAGGTAAAATGTTGCTCTGTGAAATTGCGACTTCAAATTGGAAAATCCGCGTGTCCACTGACCCAGTCATCGTGTCTCGACGTTTCCGATGAGTTACTTACCTTGAACATCTTTGATGTGTTAATTAGCGAAAGAACTAAGGAAACCAGTATTTACGCTCCTGTTACTTAGACTGTGTTAAAATTTCCTTCCCTAGGTACTTAAAATTCTTCTACTCTGCAATAAATGTACGTCGACTGAGTAAATTTTAGATTTTCAAAGATTAACCATTGTTACTTAGGTGATACAAATAGACTTGTGTCATTGTTATTTGACTGTCACTAATAAAACAAATGCAATCTTGCCTTGAAATTTTTCCCGGGCGCGGCTCCTCTCGGAGCGCGCCCGCCCGGGAAACTAAAAAAATGTTCTGTTTATAAAATATATTTATTGAATCTAATGTAAATAAAATGACGGTGAGAAAGTATGTTTTAAAATTCATATCTACTTATATTTTTTGTAGTTTTTTAACAGTCTTGAGGTTTTCATTTGTAATGTAAATTAAAACGCCGTTACGGTTACGTTCACAATTGTTAGAACCTACATTCCATGACGTTGGACGGATTACTGTAGCTTACTTTTTTTTCAACGAATTTTTAGATAAGCCAAAATTTATAAGGTGTACTTAAACGATTAGGGTTCATTTTTTATTGGTTCGTTTTTAACTAATTGGTATGCATGTAAATAAGACTCATATTTATTGTAAATATATTTGATTAAAGTGTATAAAATGATATAAACGTTGCGTTGTTTTTAATTCCGATGCCGATCCCAGAATTATGCAGTCGCTTTAAACCTACTAATAAAACAGTTGATATTTAAGACTAGCCACCGTTTATTGAGTATTTTTTTAACATTTTAAATAGAATACAAAGGTAAGTAAATCGGAGCCTCAGAACGTTGGTCAATAAATAACATGAAAACACTTAAGAAAAACGATACAAAACAGTAACTATTACGTTAAATCCACTTAAGTACACAATGAGGAAACATAAACGATTACAGGTGAGTATTTAAAAAATATGAACAAACTTCGCACTCTTATTGGAGTGAATTAAAACTGTTAAGAGTATATTTATTGTTATTTTTAATTTCTTCCACCATTTTTTTTAAGGTAAATTTGATTTTAACCTCAAATCTTTGTTTACACATTTATATAGTTAAACAACCGATCAAACTTAGGGATGATTGTACTAGATGGCGACACACAAAAAAACCCAGTCACCTTTTTTTATAATATAGATAATATGAGAGTTGCAGAGATTTTTTGGGAGTGCTGCCATCTACAGGGTGATTCACAACTTATCCAAAAAAATTTGGGAATGTGTCATGAAAATTGGTCAATATTGTAAGAAAAAAATTGTATAAATCCTTATAGTTTCCGAGGAAAAAATGATTAAGGTTGTAATGTTTTTAACCCTTACATCACTGGGCTACTGTACTCCCTAGCGTTATTCACATTCTGCACCCCAGGCGATTTTTAATACTGAAATCCGATTTTATTAACGTTTTTGTGATAGTGTTTACATTAGTTTTTTAAGTGTCACAAATGACTTCCGGATATCGTTTTAATTTATGGTGAACAAGACATTTGTGTTAATTTGTAGAAACAGGGTAAGACGGGCCTAAATGTGTTTACATGTCAGAGGACAAAGTTTTGAACAGTTGTTAATCAGATATCTCAAATTTTTTTATTAATTAAAATGACAAATTAATTATATTAATTAATAATAACAATAGCGGTAAAAGCAGTGGAATTTGCATATAGAATAGGTGATATAAAATTTTATTTACTTCTTTCCTTGGGAAAGAAATTCTTTCAATTGTTTATCCGTTCATTTCTTATTATACGTTGCCACCGTGCTGGTCATCGACTGAAAAAGTGTATTTTTAAATCATTTTCGAACTGCCCTTTTTCATATTTTTTTTTTACAAAATTGTATTTGTGAGTCCCCTGTACATTCAATTTTTTTTTTTTTGGTTAAGCTCTGAATCACGCTGTATTATTTTCATCCCAAAGTTGACTAGATGTATAACTATACCGTCCTGCACGGCACTAGAAACTGGTCAAATGTAAAACTTGGCCTCGCACAATGTTCAAAACTTTGTTCACCGACGTGTAAACACATTTGTCTTACACAGTTTCTATGAACTTACACAAATGTTGTCTTGCTTCACCATAAATTAAAATGATATCCGTCAACCCTGAGATGCTATACACGCAAGCCATACTAACTACTAAAAAAAAACTATTGTAAACACTATCGCCACGACGATTGTAAAATCGGATTTGACTATTTGGAGTCTCTGAGGCCATGTGGCTGTCCACGCGTATTACGAATGACATTAGAGACTACAGTTGTCCAGCTATGTAGTGGTTGAAAATACTACAACTTCCATAATTTTTTTCTCCGAAACTATAAGGATTTTACAAAAATTTTTTTTTACGAAATTTGACTAAATTTCTCATGCCGCGTCTATTCCCAAATATTTTCGAATAAGTTGTGAATCACCCTGTATATACGTATAATCAAGATTTAAACGATGTAAACAAAGTTCAACACAATCATAATTTTCGGTAACTTAGTGTTAATAAAATGCATTTTTATCATCAGTCGGTTTATGTGTCACGATTCTAGGAACTGCTAAACAAAAATGTTGTAATCTTTCCTAGTCGAAGCCCTTAAGTAATACTGTTTAAGGTAGTACCTGTTAATATCCCCAATAATTTAATTAAGATATGGTTATTGCACTAAAGCGTTAAAGCCAGCTTTCGTACTTGGTACGTTACAGCCTAACAAGTCTAACTTGGCAAGGAAAACACTAGATGGCGCCCAAAAATTCCAGTTCTATAAACAAGCAAGACATTTTTTGAGCATAGCCATCTAGTCTTCCCATTCCCAAGTCCAACTACAAATATATAAACCAGGATTGTAATCATTTCTTCTATGATTTTACGATATTTTAAAGGTGAATTATTATTACTATGCCAAGAAATTTACTTTAGTAAACTAAATACACCAAAGGTACAGAACTTCATTAAATAAATTTCAAAATCAAAGCGCCATCTATTGTCTTCTTTTGGTTCTATACATTTCAAGAGGCAGACAATAGATGGCGCTTTCGCATTTTTCCCTATAAACTCCCTAGACTGACCCAGTACCACAACCGATTGTTCCTGTTTCCTCCAAAATGGCGGTTTGACATGTCAGTTTGTGCATGTCAAATAAAAAAAAGAAAAAAATTAAATTAATTCTTGTATATAGTATATTAGATAAAAATATTGATGAATTGCATAAATAAACTGCGCTACTGATTGCGCTGCTTTATCAACATCTAGGGATTTTATTTCTCTCTATTTCTTAATCATAATTGATTATCAATGACTCTGGGTGTTTCTAGACACTTTGATGTACATTTTAACGCGAATTTAATGAAGCTCACAGCAAGAGCCACATCGTCTATTTAATCGCTATATCGTCTACCATTTCTTGGACAAAGTATGCTTACGTAAGAGATTATATTTAGATTCAAGTTAGCCCGATTCGAGTTCCTAGAGGATTACGTTGCTCCACGACCCGCCTGAGCGAGTACCTACTTTAGTAAGCGAATCAAATCTACCCGATTAATCGTCGTTCTCGGGCGGGGCCTCGTTCTGGAACACCTGGTACACCGTCACCGACTGAGTATTGTCGTTGAACTTGCACGAGACGTAGAGCTCGGCTATTCGGAAAACGTAGCAGTGGCTGCCCCAACGCTCCCTTAAGTACACCGATCTGGGATCTTCTTTAAGTACGTTCGTTATGGTAGTCTTCTTCTCATCGCCCTGGGCACAAGAAAAATTGGTGTCTTGACACGATATACGGGGTGTTGCTACGAGGAAGTGTACAGATATTCCTCAGGTAAAAATAGGGAAGATGGTTTAAACAGGGGAATTTAAATTTGATTTTATTCTAATATCCCTGAAGATGTCCGATGTAGATTGATGAAACTTTGGTTACTGTGTCAACTAATTATGATACTATTAAATAATTTTATTTCTTTATCACAACATGGCTTTATATAAAAAAATCGAATTAATCATTCTTTTAATTATTTAGTACAGTCATTGAAGCTGAAAATCAGCTGTAAAATCCGAATTCTTTGAAACTGCGTGGATTTGTATAAAAATTTAGAATAAGGCATCTTAGGCTCAAGTTCAAAAGTGACATAAGCCCGATTGACGCTTTTTGTTTTTAGGGGTAAAAACTACCCCTAAGTGAAAAAAATTGGAAAAATTAAATTTTAAACATTTTATTGATAAAAATCTTGTTCAAGCACAAAGATTAAATAATGTTCCATTTTGATCTTTTTGACCCTTTATTTAACCCTTAAAAACTACCCCTATGCAAAAAATAATGATAAAAAATTACTTTTTAAAAATTCGCAATGATTAAATCGTGCAATTATTTAAAATAAAAGTTACCTTATAGCTAATAAAAGAATTTTTCCCTTTCAACCCCTAAAAACCACCCCTGTATTGACAAAAATGATAAAAAATTACTTTTTAAAAGCTTGGAATGCTTTAACGGTGCAATTATTTAAAATAAAAATTCCCTCATTGCTTATGAAAGAATTTGTATCTCATAACACTTTCAAACCCTTATAAATCACCCCTGTGCTAAAAAAATAATAAAAAATTACGTTTTAAATCTTGGAATGCTATAATTGTGCAATCATTTAAAATAAAAATTCCCTTATATCGTTTATGAAAGAATATTTTACTTTTGCCATTTTCAACTCTTATAAACTACCCTTTTACTAATATTAATGTAAAATATTTTTATTATAATCGGTTTTTAAATATAATCAATCATAAAAAAAATTGCTATGCTGCATATAAATAATCATACTAAATTTTTTTACTTATTTTATTTGTATAATATATAAAAATGAGAAAGCCTATTTTGCTCCGAGAAAATGTCATAGGTTTTTTTACTATAACTCGGTTAATTTTGAAGATATAATATCCTACAAAAAAACATTTTAAAGATAATTTCAAGAGCTGTAAGATCGTTTGCATATAAAACCTTTTAAGTTCTTTGTTTTTTAAAGGGAAAGGATGGAAAGGCTCGAGACAGGTAGTTTTTTCACTAAAATGGATACTTCAAGCGGCGATATCTCCTTTATTTTTTATGCTATAGGAATAAAATAAAACAAAATATTTGTTGAAAAAAAAAGCCACATTTTTGTTGTCTATCATTTTTTACGTATCTTTCATAGTTTCAGAGTTATTATATAAATAAGGCAATTTTTTTTGAACAATGAAAAATACGTTTTCAACTTTTACAATTATTTTATACTTTTACATTATTCAAAAAATACGCATTCTAAACCGGTCTAACTTCAGGATCGTATGAAAAACACTAAAACAGTACTAATTGTAAAGGGTTTACGATTAATTTTAATTCTGATGGAAGTGGTACAGCGTTTACTGCTCATTTTTCCTTAAAAAAATATTAGCAACCCATCTGTTTTTGACGATAACTCCTTCAATTTTGCTCTAATTATACACGTAAAACTCTCCCAAAACAGATCCCCTTCCACTAACCATATTTCGCTTTGTATAGGACGTGCAACAATTTTTAAAAAACGATTTTCTTTATTTATGTTACATTTTTATTCATTACACTTTTTATGCGTGGTTTTTGAGTTATTCGCGAAAAATACTTTGAAAAAGTGTTTTTTTTTCACTCAAAATTCCAAGTTTTCAATCGTGAATAACTAAAAAACTATTGATTTCTCAAAAAAATTCTTCGAATATTTTTTGCTCGAAATTTGATTATCGATTTCCAGGTTATTATTAAAAAAAAAACATTTCCACCCCCGAGAAGGGCTGTCAACCCCCAACAGGGTGGAAGCGTCAATCGGCGCTATGTCACTAATGTTCATTGACCTTATCTCTAATTAGGTATCTGCCAAATTTCAAGTCGATCGGTTCAGTTTCAAAGAATTGGGAGATGAAAAGCTTCAATGATTGTACTAATTTTACTTTTTAAGCTATTGAGGGTAGAATACAAGTTGATAAATTTTTTACAGATTTCCAGAAAACTTGTATATTATTCAAAAAGTTGTGGTTTTAAAAAAAAATTTAAGAACTTTCTATTAAAAACACAATTTAATACATACAACCGAGCCATACCACAAATAATCATTTTTTCTCCTATGTTCTACAAGCATCTGGCCGAAAATTATAGTTTTATTTCTAAAAAATTCCAAAAACACGCCACACATAAACAGTTGAACATGGATGAATTGGACGTACGTAAAAAAGTTTTTTTTTAATGCAAAATCGACGTGCCGCGTAGAAAATTTTCCTTCCACACCTTCCACCAATTTTTCGTGTATTTGTACCTAAGGAATGTTACTTTAAAGTTTGTGCACCGCCTCGAGATACACCCTGTATAAAGTTTATCTGCAAGAAATTAAAAAAATCATAAAATTGTACCTCTGGTCCCAGTTGAGTCAGCTGCGCTAAAGCCCTGTCCTTGAACAACACCGTTAGCCTAGGAACTGGAGGTTGGTCAATCCAAGAAGGTACCCTGATATGACCTTCCGGCGTGCTTGCCGCGGGCACTGACGTGCTAACCTGAGCTGTTCTCGGGGATTCCTCCTCTTCACCGTCGGGAGCTTCCCGCTCGCCTATCCTCGAATTAGACCTATGAATTCAACCGGTAAAATTTATCGAAGGCAAAACATGCAAAAAACATTCTAACCTCCCGTAAAACGATTCCTCATTCCTGGAAAGGGTATTTTCCGTTGCTGGAGAGCCCAACGCGTGATCTCTGCGACCGTTCTCTTCCCCATCCATAACCCTCACATTTAAACTCTCTAGGCTGTCTACAACATTCGAAGTACTAGCCTGATTTCTTATGGAATTTGATAAATTATCTCTAGAGAAGTTTGCTGTGGATTCAGAATTATTCACACCATCACCACTTGCAGATAAACCCTCGTCAAGATAATTCGAGTTAACTAAACCCGGATTATCATACTGGGGAATGTAGGGTTTGATATCTAACACTGGAGTTTGATCCACCATATCAACACCACTAAAATATAGAATATTCGTGTCTACGTCACGTTTAAGAATCTTAAATAACTTACCTAAAATAGATCGTATTGTCCATAATCCTATCTATCTTTACCAAGGACAAACCTATCGGGCAAGGCCTATGTGGAGACCTAGTAGCAAACACCCCAGTTCTAACACCGTTAAGTCTCGGTGGTGCGACTTTAGCTCTAACATGAGTAGAATCGTTCCTGTGGAAATGAAACACGATCCACATATGCGAAAACTCCTGCAAACCTTCCAACGCGTGATTCGGGTTGGTGAAAACGTTGCTATTTAACGTTAATTTAGCTACCATGTCATTACAAATACCCGGCTGCCTAGGTGTGCCTCTTTTCTCAGGAAAAATTGTACTTATCGTGCCTATATATTTACACTGAAAATCACTATTGTCATTCTCTGTTGTCGACGGTCCCGATGCATCCTGGCGATCCTCTTTCCTCTTACAAGTCGGACATTGCCATTCCTCCAATTTTTTGTAAATAAGATCACATTCTTTCCTATGTACGTGGTTTAAAGATACAAGTTGCTGACTAAAAGATAGGTTATGTTTAGTTAACAGCTCACAAGTATACACATAAGGCTGGGTATTACCGCAAGTTATGAATTTCTTTTCTGGCTATCGCCAACTGATTCTGCAAAAACACCGGATCCAAGGATCTATCACAAACCGAACTAGACATTTTTCTGTTATTGTTTTGACATTTTTATTATGGCAACTCTCAATTCCCGAAAATCGAAGTCAAAAGAGCGCAAGTGCGGAAACGCACAAATTTTCGCCAATCAAATCTCGCGCTTTCAGTCACCAGCCTTCTTGTTTAGTTTGCCGTGATCTTCGGTCATAGAGGGTAGAGGGTAGTTTTCGGTATTTAAAAAATACGCACGGTTTCGTTCGTAAAATTATTTTCGCGTAAAAGTTAAGTTTCATTTCTGCGCGTTTTTAGTGGCCAGAAAGTGCTTCTGCATCATCATGACGAACAGCACGAAACATTATGGTACTTGCAGTGTGGTGATATAGTTGTTTCAATTGTTTTGAAAGTTTCTGTGAACTTTTTCTAATTTCTTTTATAAAAAATACAGTTAACTCCTAACATGTGATATTGTGCCGATAATTATGAGGCCGTCCGCTTTTATGATATTGCTGATACTCTTCTTTCAAAGTGAGTTTTTAAGTATGTACAGTTGAACTCGCTTATAACGAGCAGGGGATATAACGAGCCCTTGGTTATAACGAGCAAATTGAAATGTCCCTTCCGAATTCCCTATGTAACACGTGTATTTTTGTTCGGCTATAACGAACTCGTATATAACGAGGGCTTGGCTATTACGAGCTTTGATTTTGGTCCCGCGCAACAGTGATCTCGGCTATAACGAGTTATCGTAGAACCAGTTTATACGCACATGACATCAAATGAACGCAAAAAATTGTTATGACTAGTAGAAATAACAACATATCCGATTTTGACGTCTTTGACTTAATTCAGTACGACATGGTAGACGAAAATCTCGAAGTGGCTGAATTCCCAAATGAAATTCAAATCACACAATTAGCGATTAACCCATCAATAGATGAAGAAAGTGATGAAGAAGAGACGGGAAGCGATGAGGTTACAGTTCCTTCGACACATGAAGCCATCTCTGCGTTAAAAACCATAGTATCATACGTCGAATTCAAATATCCGGAAAACGAGCAGTTCTTAAATGCCGCTGATCGTTTGCAAAGAAATATCAGTCAGGAGATATTAAGCAAAAGAGTGGTGCAGAAAAATATTACAGAATTTTTTCGTTAATAATAAATGCTATGTAATTGTAATGTAACTTACCTACAGTTATACGTATCTATGTTATGTAGATAAATAATATTATATGTTTGGAAATAAAAATACAAGTGCAATGCAGCTATAATTATGTGTCCAATAATTTTCAGCATAGTTGGCGACGGCGACGTCTATAACGAGCACTCGCGTATAACGAGCAAATTTTGCGTTCCCGTGAATGCTCGCTATAACCGAGTTTTACTGTAGTTACATTTAATCACTACCTAACCTAATACCTGTATCAATTGATTTGTGATATCAGTTTATTATTTTATAGGTGTGGCCTATATATGTGGCCTTTCATGTTAATTAACATTCCCACTAAATCGAGTCGATAAACTACAAATAAAGAATAGAATTTTGAGGCGTCTAGGCCGCCATTCAATCAAAAACAAAATAGTGTAGGACTATTTTATTTCCCCCAAAAAATAATTGTGTACTAAATTGATGTGGTTATTAAATGAGAAATAGTACATAGTAGAAATTATATTGCTAGTATTATTATTTCTTTTAATATCCCGAACCTTTTAACCATGGAGACTATACAAGGAGCCCGAACTCCATGTAAACAAAAATCTTACAAAAATAAGAGGGCGCTAGTGTTCCATATGTCCATACGTAGAGAGGGGAGATAAAAAAGCGGCAGTTTGAATTATAAATCAATCATGTCATTATTGTGATGTGTTAAAAATTTTAAAATAAATAATGTAAGCTACTTTGAATTATATAAATCATGAAAATATGTCATTCCGGACTGTAATTAAACTAAATAGATAATAAAAAATATTAGCTTTATGAGAAGAATTTGGTGTTCGTAGAAAGAAACTAGTTTTCAAGGAATTTATGACGTGATCTTATTAATATTAACCTATAAGTAAGGTTTGTGTTTTTGATAATTACTTTGTTAAAGATTTTAGTTTAATGTTAGTAAAAGTCACATTTTATACAGGAAGTTGCCTTTAAAAAAATAGTAATTCTTGTATTATTAATATGGAATTTTTACTTGTGGTAATAAAAAATAGAATATAAAAAAACTCGGTGTTTTAAATAAACTTTTTAAAATATTACAGATGTCCGATTTTGAGTCCAGTGATTCAGATGACTTATTAGACGCATTGTCCAGCTTGAGAGTGATGATGAAATAGATTTATTCTAAGAAACAGAAAGAGTAAAAAATAAGAACTACTTTGAAATTATTGTACCTGAATATAGTGGCCAAGTTTTTTTAACATTTCCGTGTTAGCATATGGGAAGTAGCTAACAGAATTGAAGAAAAATTTGCCATTTCTAATTATTTCACCCATGATTCTGGTAAATTTTGCATTGCCTTAAGCTCTACAACAACCAGAAAAGTTACATACTTGCTAAGTAACTTGTCTCCATAAATTATAGAATGGCCGAGATAATGAGGCAGTTGTAATCGAACAATATTTTGCCCAATATGAATTTCCAGAGCAGGTTATAGGAATAATTGATGGGAAAGGAATTCATATAAGATAGAGTATATCACAATCCATATTTTTTTTGAATAACCAATAATATACTATATTATAGTGTAACTGAAAACTGACTATGGAAAGTCGATAAATTATGGTTGGACAATTTCTAAGCTGATTGCCATGTTGTCGGTTTAGACTTCTCAATGCTTCGAGAGTCATATCGCTCTCTTCTCAAAATGTCAAGAAGCTTAAAACAACATGACAACCAATTGATACCAAAATTTTAACAAAATATAGGTACTCCATTATAAAGGTCACAAAAAATAGGTAATCTAAATATTTTATAACTGTTTAAAATCGATTAGTTTTCTGGGTATATATTTTAAAATTGCTGTAAAATTTAATTCTACTTTCGTAAAATTGTTGATTTAATTCGAACGTAACATGGTTCCATGACTTATTCCAAGGTAGAGTATAGACCAAAATTAATAAGGTATTATAAAGAAATATTTTAGCAATGTTCTATATTTTTGTTATATATTTTGTAAAAATAAAATGTTTATCTACCAAAGATTTCAATGTTTTATTAATTGAATCAAAAAACTAAATTATTTGTACCTAATTAAAATAAAAATAAATATTTATTCATAACAAACAAGTAACAAAGTAAATATATATTACAAATAAAACAGGAACTCTTCTTAAAAATAAGTAATACTTGTCAGTCTATCTTCTTTTTCTTCTTAAAATTTCATTTTGTTCAATTTATTCAATTCAGTAATAATAATAACGATGTCACCAGCAAGAATTATTATATGAAAGATACGAATTTAATTATTTATGTGTGTAATATAAATTACAATATGTAGAAATAAATAAAATATACTTTGTTGCTATTGTCAATATTATGCTCTGAACATATTCATCGTTGCTTTGTCGAGACCTCATCACACACCAGCAGAACTTTTCTTTTATTAGATTATACACGGCAGGATGCTCACTTTCTAGTATAATTTCATCGTAATTTAATTGCTCTTGATTTACTTGCTGTTCTTGTTGTTGTTGTTGTAACTGTTGCTCTTGTAGCTGCTACACCTGTTGTTGCTGGTGTAGCGGATGCTCTTGCTGTTGATGCTGCTGCAAGATATATAAAGAAACAATGCATCATTCAATTATACAATATTTTCACTTATGAAATCTTTCTATTTAAAAATTTCTCTACCTTATTGAGAATCAATGAAGCTGCTTCCATCTTCCGAATTATTCGATCTTTTGCCATAATATTAACCCGCTATTCATTCACTTCACATACTATTACCATATTTAAATTATTTTCGAAACTTTTTATTTACCATTATAAAAACAAATTGTAATAATTATTGACTTGACTTCTAGTTTTTATCTCATTATAAAATAAAATTGGTTATTTGCTTACTTCACTCGTATTTATTATGCTACATTCACTTGGGACATATGGAACACTAGCGCCACTTCAACTTCTGCCATTTCTTGGACAAATTTTGTCAATTTTCCCATATGAGTTCGTGCTCCTTATCTAGTCTCCCTGCTTTTAACCATCATGGAATTAAATAATTTTACTTGCTATTCCTGCCAACTGTTTTCAATTTCATGGCATCTTAGACGGGCGTCACAAAATTTTATATGCAATTTTTTTAAGTTTATCGATGCGACAAAACATAACCAATTTATCATTTTTTCTTCAAATTTGGTACACAATAATTTTGGGGACAGAATAATTCTACAATTATTTTTTCGCGTACCAATACTTAATTGTCAAATAACTCGTATACAAAAATAGTCCTACAGTTGATTCCGCCAGTCGCCAGCCTACTTATTTTTAAGGGCGTATTAACAAGATTGATCAGACACACTTAATTATGTGGTAAATAATTAGAATTAATGAAAATGTATAGTGGCTGATTCGAGTTTTGAAATTTTAGCTATTACTCGGTGCAGTAGTGGTACACGACTTCATATTTTATTAACATGCCGTGGCACTCTGTTGTGTGGGATATTCATTACAGTTAAGTGGTGTTCCATGAAAAATATAATACCTATATATAATGTATTAGGTTTCTATTAAATATACTTTCAGGTGAAATGAATGATTGATTTACTTAAATGTCGCCACCAAAGGCATATAAAAACTATTCCAAAGTTTGATCAAGCCTTCTGTAATGTCAACCTAGGGTTAAAATACCTGGCGGAGTTTGTTTGTTTGTATACCGATGTAGGTATTAGTGTCGTGTACTTTTTCATCAGTCCTGAAAGAAGTTTTTTGTCAAAGTTCGTAACATTTACTGGGAAATCCTCGATGCTACCAAAGTTTTTATGTAAGCGTTTGGTAGTTTTACCAGTGCCGTTTTAAACGAAGGTCCTTATAAATAATAAAATACAAACTTAATTCTACCAGTAAAGTACATTAATATATTTAGAAGGTTTATAAGCGGTAGAACCGAAGGTAGACCCGTTTCTATTTATTTATAGGTTAAAGCTATTTTTTATGTTGGGATTGAGTGATTTTGTTTTTTATATTGACTTTACATCAAAAAAAAATTATCTCGGCTTCAGAAGGGCGTAGAGCAACGTTTTTTTTAAATTCGCGTAAAAATGCCAGCAATCGATTCCTGTAATAGACATTATCGAAAAATGAAAATTGAAAAAGATATTCAAGATAAACGCGACCAAAAAATTTTTACTTTTTTCAGTCATTTTTGGACACTTGAAATGAATAAAGTTGTTATCACTCTTTTTTACCATCAAAGTGCAACTCTTAAGGAAAAAAATGAACCCTGATTCGTTTCTTTACGACTATTCGTCAAACAAGAGGAGCTGATTTTCGAGATGACCTTTTTTTCGAAAAATCGATATAACTCAAAAATTTTTAATATTTTTTAATTGAAAAAAGGCACCTTTTTTTTGCTTGCCGAGGGCTACATTTACAGCAAGTAACAAGTTTCAAAACCTTAATTTGCAAGAGATACAGCAAAAACGAAAAAAGTCGATTTTTGACGGTTATTCGATATATCTCGAAAAGTAATATAGTAATAGATATATTTAAAAATATGAATCGATAGGTTTTTTTAATAACTACAACTTTCTCATGTAACATTTTTCGAATGGAGTTTTTTTATTATCGAAAAACTGTTTTTTTGACATTTAAGAATTTTTTAGGTTAACTTTGCCGTTTTTTGTTTCCCTATATCCCTATATCACCATATTTTTTGTTTCCAGGTGGTATTTTTTGTAAAATTAACATTAGGCCGTGACAGATTGATTGGACTAAAAATTAAACGCACTTTGCATAGGAGAGATTTCACATTTTGAATTTTTTTGGACGCCCTGTATGTTTTATTACATATTTAATTCCTACCCATGGCTTCCCAAGATAACTTCAATATTTAATTGTGGTGTTGGCCCACCCAATTCTTTTATTTTTAGTTTATCCTCATAAGAGGACCAAATAAAGTTTTTTGTTAAAACGAATCGATATTAATTTTAATAACTAAATAATATCCGTAGACGCCTAAACAAAAATATTCACACGTGCCGCTCACACAAATCAACCACCACATACCGCGTACGAAATATTACTGCATTTCGTGTATGCAGCAGTGGCTGTCGTTGTTGCAGCCACAAAAGCCCTTATAAAAGTGTACTGGGTCACGTGCCTGATTAGCCAATAAAAACAAAGGGCGCATCTAACTGTTCGCTGTGCACACATTTTGTATATGAGGTT